TTATTATTACGCTTAAATTTAAGTTTTATTTAGCTAAAATTAATATCTTTATAAATGCTGCTTTAAAGTAATAAAAAGCCTTATCCTCCTTACTTTTTTATTAAAAAAAAGTTCCTTTAATAATAAAATAAAAAAAAGAGTTAATAATTTTAAAAAAGTTTTTAATAAAGTTATAATAAAAGTTTATAAACCTTATAAAGCTTTAAATGCTATAAACTATTTATAATACCTTTTATTTTTAAATTACTTTAACCTTTTTTAAATTTATTTAAAGATTTATTTTAATTATAATAATATAGCTTAAGTACTTTATCTTCTTTATTATAAATTTATATTTATCTTAATTTAAGTTTAATTTAATATTTTATAAGTAATATAAAACTTTCTATACCTTTTTTATATAATTCTTCCTTAAGCTTAAGGAAAATATTAATATATTATTTAAGTATACCATTATATAGTTTTTTAAGATATTAATTAAGATTAAGTTAATATATTATTAAAATATAATAAGTATATTAAATAAATTAAAGGGGTAAATTAATTATTTAAATAACTTAAATTAAATTTAAAATGCTATTAAATGCTTTTACTTTTTTATTATTTATATTTAATAAAAGGTTATATAAATATTTAACTTTATAAATTATTAAGCATTAAAAAAAAAGCATAATATTTTCTTAATAAAGAGGAAGGGGTAATAATTTTATTAAGCTATTTTATTAAAGATATAATAATTTATATAAAATTATTACTTTTTATTTACTTTATGCATTAAAAAAGTTAAGGCTGTTATAAGTAAGGAATTAGCCCTTATTTAGCTTTTATTATAAAGTTTTATAACTTATTTTTATAACTTAAATAATTAATTTTAAAGTATATTATATAATAAGCCCTATAATAATATTAACGCAAACTTATTCTTTGCTAATAATAAATAAATATAATAATTAAATTAACCTTAATATAATAAAAGGGTAAAAGCTTAATCCTTATTAAAAAGGCTAATAAAGTTTTATACTTCTTTTAATAAAAATTTAGCTTTATATTGCTTTATATTATTATTATCTCTTTTTTAAAAAGTTATAATTTAAAAAATTTATATAATCTTACTTAAGCTTATTTTTATTAAAGTAATATTTATTATTTTATTATAAGATAAGTAATTTATTTATGCTTTTATAATTACCTTAAAAATTAATTAAGCTAAATTACTTATATTTTATTAACTTTCTTTCTTTATAATTATTCCTTAAGTTGCATTAATTATTATATAGCTATAAGCTAAGTTTAATAAGATATTATAATAATATAATTAAAATAAGCTTAATAAAAGGAGATAAGCTATATTTAAAATTATATAAATTAAAATAAGAGCTTGCTATATATTAATATTTAAAGAAAGCCATATTATATATATAATATATTAACTTTATAATAAATTAATAATTATCTTTAAGTTTCTTAAGATAAATAAAGTTATTAGCTTTAATTTTGCTTTTTATACTTATTATTTATTTATAATAATATAATAGCTATATTTATTATTTATTTAAGTAATAATAATATACTTATAATTTATAATAATAAAAATTAAGAAAAAAAGCTTATTTAATTTATTTTATATTTATTAATATTATTTTTATATAAATTAAGCTTATAAAAAGGGCTTATACTCTTAAATAAAACTTTGCTTAAAAGCTAATTTTTTCCTTTAAAATTAATAAAATCTTCCTTATAAGGTATAATTAACTTTATAACCTAAACTTAAGTTAGCATAGCTATAAAAAGAAATTTATAATTTATTATAAAGTACCCCTATTAATTATAATATAAATATACTTTGCATTTTTATTAAGCCTTCCTTTTAAATTTAAAAACCTAAAGTACCTTAGCTTAGTTATTAATTAACTAAGAGGAAAAGGTATTTTGCTACCCTTATAGCTCTTTATTCCTAACGCCCTAGCCCCTTATTATACTTGTTATAGCTATATTTATTATTATTATATCTTAACTTATTGCTTATTACCCTTAGGTTAAGGGCTTTAAAAAATATAAAAATAAGCTTATATATTATTAATATTTAAGGTTTTATATTTTTAACTTATAAGTAATTTAATAATATATATTTATTACCTTATTATAATTTATATATAAAATTAATACTTTAATAGCTTTATTATAAAGCTATAAAAAAAGCTAATTATAAAAGTAATTTAGCTTTACTTTATTTAATTACTTAAGGCTCTTAGCTTATATTATTAATTATTTAAATTAAATATAAAATTAAGCAAAGCTATTATAATTTTATATTTAAAATATCTTAAGCTTAATTAAAGCAGCTACTTATTAATATAGGTTTTTATAATAATATTTTAAGTATTTAAAGAATTTATTTATATTAAAATTATTTTAAGGCCTACCTTACTTATAAAATGCTATAATATATAATTATATTTTAATAAATAACTAATTTTATAAAAAATTTTAATACTTTTAAAAATTCTTAATAAAGTTTATATTAATTTATAGCTTATATTATATTATTATCTTTTAAGCTAGAAAGCTATTTTAAATATTATTAAATAAAGGTTTAATTAAGAGTAATTTATATTAAATTAAGGGTAAATTAAAAGAGTTTATATGCATTTTAAGCTTTATAAATTAATAAAGCATTATTGCAAGGAGAAATATAATGGCATTATTATTAATATTAATAAATATTATTATAAATAGCTAAGAAAGTTAAAGCGCTTTTTAAGCATTTTTATAGTTTAATATTAAAGTAAGTTAAGAAATTCTTAATTATATATTTTATAAAAAGGTTAATATCTTAAATATAAGGTTATTTACCTTTATAATATAAGTATTTTTTTTAATATAATTTAAAAATTACAATTTAATATTAAAGGTTAGCTTTAAGCGTTTATTAAAAAGTATTTAAAAGGAGTTATGAATTATAATATTTAAAAAGTAAGTTAAGCCTTAAAAGGGCTTAACTCTAGATTTATCTTTTAAGTATATGCCTTATTACATAAAAGGGTTGAGTGCAATATAAGCCTGATATAGGCATGTATTACGGCTTGGGCAATAGCTCAAGCCCATTACAATTAATATATATTAATATGTTTAAATATAAATTACATTTAATATTATTTCATTTAAATTTTAAAAAAATTAAATTATATATTATATAAATAGCTTCTTTAAAGCTCACAAGAGCCATTCATTTTTTAAAAAAGTAAGAAAATAACAAGAGTATGCGCGAAGAAGGTTTGTCCTTGCTTATTCGCTCCGCTCGCTCACTTTAGCGAACCTCCTCCGCATGGGCCGCTTTATCTTATCTCTTATCTCTTATCTCTTATCTTATCCTACCCCGTATATAGGGTAAAAAAGAGTTAATAAAAGAATTAAATTTAAAATATTTAATTATTATTAATATTTTATATAAAAGTTATAAAAATCCTTAATATTTTACTTCTTTATTTTGTTTAATTCTTAGTTAAACATAGCGTTTTAAAATATATAATTAAGCTTATTTTATAAAGAAAAATTTAAAAATTATTCTTTTAAACTTAGTTTCCTATAAGAAAAGCTTAATATTTTAATAAGAGATTAATATTAAAGTTTATTTTTTAAATGGGATATAAGATTATTTTTAAGAATAGCATATTTATTATTAATAATTAATGTTAAAATTATAAATACCTTATACTTTTAACTTAAGTAAAACATGTTTTTTTTAATATAATATAATAATTAAAATTTAATAATTAAGAGTTTTATTGCTTTAAGCCGTAGCTATTTTTAAAGGTTTAAGGTTTAATTTAATAATATACCCAGAAAATACAGTCCCTTAAGCGTTATGGCATTAATTTATTAAAGTGGGGAATGAATTATAAGCATATTTATCCAGCTTAAAAGTTCTTTACTAAGAAGTTCTTTTAAGCTGAGGGGGTATGTTAGATTCATAAGTACCTTGTACTTTTAGCTTAGCTGGAGCATGTTCCTTTTGATGTAGTGCAGTGGTTAGAATCTAACAGTTGGGATTTTGCAGTGTTGCAAGACTTTTTCGGCCCCACTGTAGGTTACATTGAAGGCGCGTAAATACGGGATAGTTCACGCCGAAACAACGTCACTCTAGCGTTGCTCGTATCTGCTTCCCGATCCAACTCCAGGACGTGTTCCGCTGGGCCGGGCATTTGTAGGTAGCAGACACTGTTTTAGGCAAAAGTGCGTGCAAAACTCATGAAGTGTTTAGTTAGGCAGCTGAATGTAGAACAAGCTTCCCCTAGGGAATACCGAGCTCCGCTCCAGGCCGCTTGGCAATAGTACTCGACCTCTGCAGCTACTACAAGCCTTATGCATCACTAGTACATGCTGAAGTTAAACCTTTGTCAGAATGCAACTCGAGAGTGCGTCTTAATACAGTACCTAAGCGTGAAGTTTATGTTTGGCTATTTGCAACTCCTTATCTATGATATTGAGGTCTTATTCATTCTCATTGTACTTCTACACACCTTCGTTTTGGAGTCCAATTTCCTATTCTAGTGCAACAGAATACGTGGATTCGATGCAAAAAATGGCTAATGCTCTCGCAATCTTGTAGAGTCCTATATGTTGAACTATAATCACTGAAAGCATTCTCGAGATCATCTTTTCAGCACGTGTGCGTGCCACATCAGAATTTGGGTCAAGGTGCAGAACTCGGAAATTGTGTTGAAATTACTTACCTAAAACCTCTGCCGGCAGAGTAATGCTAGTATGATGTAGGCTTTATCCACACAACCGCCGAAGAGCACGAAAGAAGGTAGGGAATAATGATGGGAGCCCTTCCCGCCAAGCCATAGCCATAAGGCTGTCGTTGGTGTACTGCAAGGCGAGCTGTGGCATTCCCATCTCCTCCATTGGTTCCGTGGGTTCTGGAGCCTGTGGGTGCTTTGGCTCAGCCCTTTTGTCCTCACCAACAGCCTCTGTTGAGGGCGTTTCGTTTGATGCGCTCATGTCTTGAAACCAGGCATGTTGAAGTACATGGGCCGCCTGTAGACGATCTTCGGGAGCCCAGGAAAATATTTTCTTCGCCAAATCAAAGAGGAGAGATATCTCTCCCTGCGATATAGACACGGATAGAACCTTGTTCCCAGGGGCGCACCAGATGTCGTAGCCCTGTGGTGGGGGAGTAGGCGCTACCTCGCCTTCCGCCAAGGGAACCAAGTACTGAATCTCTGTTGAAAGGCTCTGGAGCAGCGCGCTAGAGATTCCGGTTGGAAGCATGTGCTGTCGCGTCCAATCATCCTTTTCCTCTTCGTCGACAGACGCCCACTGCTGAGGGTCCTCTGGGACCTCGGCATCATCTGCCAGTGACGATCTGAATGGCTCAGGCATAGGGCCACTGAGATCCTCCCAATGAGGCATCAGAGACCAAATATCGCCGTTTCCGAATGGACAGCTGCCTTGCCTCACTTCGAACAGAGTGCATCCAAGTGCCCAGACGTCGCTGGCGAACCCAAGATCGCCGCAGCCGTCGAAGAATCCCTCCGGAGAACAGTAGCCAGATGGGATACCAGTGGAGTCCCGAGGTTGAGAATTTAGGAAGGACTCTCCAAAGTCGATGACAGCGACATTGTCCGAAATGTACTTCGAGGCACCACCGAGATACGCATTGACAACGAGGTATCTGGGACAGTGCTCGGTGCCTTCGTAGTCAACTTCACCCTGTTCAGATTCACTATCTGTCTCGGCAGCGTCGTTATGCATCGACACATCATTTTGCTGGACATCCTCGCTCTGTGGGGCGTCTGATTGTTGTTCTTCGTCAGCAGTCTGAGATTCGTCGTTATCGTCCGACTCACAGATATCCTCCTGATCTTGGTTCCGGCTGTCTTGGTCCGACATATTCTCTCTGTCGCCATGATCACTCGCTGACGATTCGTGCTCCCATTCGTACTCATCGCCGTCCACGATGCACAATAACTGTGGCCTACCGTATGCCATGAGTATATCCTGTTCGCTGGCATCATCCAAGCCCTTAACCGTGTGACAAATGTTGTGGTCGGAAATCGCCGTGGCACACATCATTCTTGTGAAGGAATGACATGGCCGAAACGATTTGACGGCAAATATCTTTCAACGGTGCTTCTTGGTATTCGTACTTTCGAGCGACGCCAACAATGTTCGGGCCGAGCAAAGGCATGACCACGCACAGGTGTCGGCCATTTGGGCCATCGTGCCAGAAATGATCAGTGGGAAATGCGATGTGGCTGTCACGGAGCTGTTTATTCTCTGGGTCCATTTTCCCAAACATGTTGCAGATCCTGAAATCTGCACAGTCCTCTGTAGAGTCTTCAGCCCGTAGAATCTTGAGTGCCCCCCACTTGTTCTCCGCAGTGTCGCGGCAGAGCCAGACTGTCCCAAAGCCTCCATTTCCGAGCTTATGTACGATCCTGTATCGACCATCCTCACCAAGAAGATCCCCAAGGTGGGTTGGATGCAGTCCGCCCGGCCTGTAGTCTTGAATTTCTTCTCGCTCGCCATAGCCGAAGTCGTTCACGTACACCGGTCGAAGCTGTTGGGCATCCATGGTGTCTGTGTCTTTTTTGTTTCAATGTCGATTGTTGTCTCAAGTTCGAATTTTTAGCGATTATGAGATACTCTTCTGCACATGCTCTGGGTATCTGTCACAAGTCTCGAAGAGTCGAGGCTACTTATGGAGCTGGAAATGCACACTTGGCAAGTCTTTTGGCTTAGACTTGCCGCAACTTTTAACAAAGAAATCCCCCCGTTCCATTGTACCGTAGAAATGATATTTTTGACACAAAACGGATAGCTACCAGCGATAAACTCCGTTGTTGGCTCAAACAGGACAAAAGGATTCCAGGCATGCTCAACATTGACAGGCGGCACGGCAGACACTGCGGTCAAGTGATTTGCTACCTCAAGGCTTTGTCACAGATTCTGGCGGTTTAATTGTTGAAGACTCTATAACCATAAGGCTTTCGAGAGAGACAATTGCTTAATTATTTTAATTATAAAGAAACAATTGTTCACCTCATTAGTATGCCATTGAAGCCGAATAAGTACTCTTCTTCCAAGACGGCAAGTAATTTTACTCTAAGGATTTGACTTGCTGTACTGGGGTTATATATGAAACTCTCTCCTTCATGTCCGACTCAACGATGAGTCTCGAAAAAAGTTCGACTTGCAGGCGGATACCAAGGAGATCATCAATAAACGAAACGCTGCGTTAATTATATCACCTACAAAGATTTCAACGGATTTCTCACCATGCCACTGAAAAGCGACAAGCCGCCTAAAGGGCAGCCTAATTCCAAACAAAACGGAAAGCAAAACAAGCAAAATGCCAAATACGTACATGGTGTGACGAAGATCGATAGAACCAAAGCCCGCCCAATCCCCAAGGGAACGAATGGTCAAGAGCAAGTGCTGGAACCCAGTTTGCAAAGAGGGCAAAAGAAGTGTCGGCACTGCTATAATAAGACCCCGCGGCCTTGTGATTGCGGCAAGTACCTTTATGAAACGGACGTGGACGTATTCTGGACAAAGTCTTCTGGGTACCGCCAGCTTGCATTTTCCGTTGTGCGGAAATGTGAAGATATTGCTATGATGGAGGCTAAGCGTCTTGGAATGTCTTGTGTTATCATCAGGAAGGAACAGCACAACACGTACACACAGCGCGACAATCGCACCGGAAGAAAGACCGGCATGCATCCGCCCGCTGACTGGCACATAACAGTGTACTTGGGTGACGCGGCGGACAAGCTTCTCCTTGAAGGGCATTGCTATGTTTTCATGAATGGCAAAAACCAGCCTCAGTGTAAACTAAACGAAGGCAATCGATCGATTCTGGAGCCTCACGAGCTTTTGGAGCGTCTGACACTCAAGGACGCAGCCCCCGATGTATACTGGGGTATAGACGGAAGTTGTGGTTGGATCTTTGTCTAGGTAAGGATTCCGCATACACATCAGACCTTGGTGTCTCTCTACCCGAGCCCCACAGATTGAATATACCCAGGGGCCGTCTGGGAGTTTCGCTAAGTCCCCTCCCCTTTCTCTTCTTTTTTCATTTGAACTTATTTTCTCTTTCTCTTTGGAATCTCTTTAAGATCCAAGAGTTTCACCAAGCAATACAAACTTAAAAACCATCCCAAGGTGTTCCAGCTCATTGAAAGGTAATATTTCGTTGAATCATAACACTACATCCTCATCAAAACAGGTTCGCAAATGTGCAGCGTGAGCGAAGCTTCAGCGTGTATCGTCTACCTTTTGAAATAGTGTAATTCAGCTAGTGATTTGATTTCGGGACAATTGCAAACAGCGCCGAGCAGAAGACAAAGCATATTATACAATACCTAGCAGTCTTTCGCTAACTCCGACGGGCATGAGACGCTGGTGTCCGTAAACTATAGAACGCTAGACATCGGTTCTAACTTAGTAGCTAGCAAGATAGGCATTTTTGTCAGTCTGTAAAAGTACACACTAAGAATTTGGCTGATATCTTTTACTTACCTTGCGCCTTCTTATTGCCTGCCGACAAATTACTTCTTTCCTAGGTTTTCAGTTCAGCTTTCCAAGGATTATGCCACTAACCATCACGCTGGTTGTGGATTGGAATAGCCATTTGTGTATTGAGCTTGTAGATAGGATAGGTACCACGCTCTGCTAGACTCCGAGGGGGGGGGGGAAGGAATGCTTTGGCGCAAGGGACAGAATTTCGGGGCTAGCAGGGTGAGAAAGGATGTGATCTGTTAAAAAGCAGATGTGTCATATAGGAGCAGAATCTTGAAACGAAGGTGGGTTCAATTCTGAGTAGAGTTTCTAAAGCAATGGGCCTATTGGGAGACTTTTATAACCTGGGGGGGGGGGGGGGGGCAGAAATGAGCTGTAACTGAAGCCATCGCGAACATCATGCATCCCAAAACGCTGTTTTGTTGCTTTGTTCCTAGATAAACTCGACGCATTCCGAGACCCTGTCCCCAGGCTTCTTGTCTCCTGTGCACAACAAGCAGCTTTACTGACTGGACAAGAGATCCAGCCCAAAGCCTCAGCCCGTTACCTAACTTCAACTTAGTCGCACTCCATGCGGAGACCCCAGTTGTTCCCCTGCAGGGAGTGGCACCCTCGCCCGTCGAGCGTCTTTTGTCGCGAGCCCGAGCAGTCTGTGTTGGGGTATGTGTAGACTATAGTTGCACCGGCCGATTAGCATGGGTCATAAATTGAAACAGCAAGCAGTATGATACGCTGGGTACGTAACGTACAATTACAGTTCCTGTCGTCGGTCCAAATCTCGATGCCGTGGTCCGACTCAATCAGGTCGTTGCATTGCCCGGGCTCGGCAGTATACCAATTGTCGGAGCCCGAGTCCTCGCACGTGGTCGTCGAGTGCTTCCGCCAGGTAATGTGTGCTGGAAACAAGAACAAAGTCAGCCGGTGACAACCAAGTCCAAGCTTAGGTCATACTTGGGTTGGAGGTGAGAAAGGGGCTGGGAAAGTTCTTGAAGTTACCAACCGGCTTGAGTGGTGGATGCAACAAGAAGCACGGCGGCAGGGAGGACGTTTTGGAACAGCATTTTGGCCGAGGTTGTAAGTTAAGTTGAGAGGTTTGGTTGTCAAGAGTAGTCTGATAATCACAAGTTCCTAATCAGAAGTTGACCAGAGCTGGGAAGATGGAATGAATGATGCCAGTGATGATGGGGATTGTTCACATTTCGAGAGCAATGAGCGTGGTTCACTGGCAGATATTTACATTCATCCGTCTTCTAAGTCCTGACTTTCAGGCTTTCCAGAATAACTCTTCGCAATGCGAGCCGCCGTCATGGATGTCATGCCTGAGCGCGAACACAGTCGATCCATCCCGTTGACAATTCTCACGACGACGATCACGCTTCTGGTTTTCCGGAAGCTGACTGAGGTTTTCTTGGAATTGTCAGCAAATTTGTGACTAGACCAGTTGTTGTAGAGCTCATTCTCCCTGAATGAGGCTATGCGATGGCGATCTATACACTCCTCAGAGGCACCTTGTGTAAACTACGCGATGTACATTGTACCGGGATCCAAGACGAGCTCAGGGCATTGGTGTAATGGAAGGGTTATTGTGGTGTAATAGGTACCATTTCTTGGCAAGAGATGTCAAATGCAATACTCATGTGGTTTATTCTGGCTCATAATGATATTTTGTGATTCGTAGCTCACATATTGTTGCGCTATGCAAGAAGAAACGAATACAATTCAGCTGGAAACCCGCACAGACTGACATCAGCCAATCCGCTTCTTTGCCTCCTCTTCAGTCCCTCAGCTCAGCTTACCAAGGCAGAGTAAGCTGACCATGGCGATCGCGATCGTGATGTAATCCAAGGCGGTTCGCCTGAGATGCGCAGCCTGAGAAGACTCCCGATTGCCGTGAATTCCAAATTGCTTTAGGTTGACTCGTTTCCAAGGTAGCTCTGGGGGCTCTGGGCGCTCTGGGGCCCTCTGGGCGCTCTGGGGCCCTCTGGGGGCTCTGGGGGCTCTGGGGGCTCTGGGGGCTCTGGGGGCTCTGGGGGCTCTGGGCGCTTTGGGCGCTCTGGGCGCTCTGGGCGCTCTGGGGCCCTCTGGGCTTTTTAGGCTTGTATTTTTAAAGTATTGCTTAAATTGGAAAATAGCTACCCTGGCTTATTAAAAACCCCGCAGTACTTGCATTTTAATGCGGATGCAGCTAATTTTCCTTGTACTGGGTGGGCCAACGCTGGAAGCTGGGTGGGCGTACTGTAGAAGCTGGGTGGGCGTACGCTGACTCGGTATTATACTGGATTGTGGATCCTGACTTTAGGGTTTAAGGCGGTATGTGCGTGTAGCTGCTGCCTCAAGGCAGCCAACGGCAGACTTGATCACTTTTGCGACAGACAAAAAGTACAATAAACAAAAACCTGGGTTATAATTCTAGATATGCTTTCCCAAGGACGTGGTGTTTCCCAACGAGAAAAATCTATTTTATTCTTATTACGCGACATTCAGTTGCTTTTACATTTAGTCAGTCACACAAGATACAACAGGCCATTAAAATCAACTAGATTGTAAGTATATACTTTTGCAATACACGGAATATTCAACTTCAACGACAAAAAAAACCCTGCCACAGAAGACAATATGTGCAGAGTTGAAACGGTTGGAAGGGTGTGACTCTCATCTCTGTACATAACGGGTCTGATTGAATGTGCAGTGAACCAGACATCCTCGTTCTTTTGCACCAGTACGCACTTGCCGCAAGCGCGACATTGGTTACTTGCACATCTTGCGCCCGTATAATTGACTGTCAGCAGGGGAATCCTTTCCTGGAGAAGCAGTCTCTTTGGGGAGGGGTGCGGGGCTGTGGTCAGGGCGAGATCGGCTGCGGTCTTATTCTCGGTAGGGGAGCCGACGATTGGAAACAGGCATGCGGGCATGTCTTAGCTGATGGTGGCTTGGCTTCCAACGTTGTTGTCTTTGTCAAGGTCGCGGCTGATGCTTCCCACGAGCATGTGCCAAACTCCGTCTCGTTCACAGTGTCTGTGATCAACAATGTCACTAGTACGAGGTCAGTATTATGCCATGAATGTATCGGATGTTATTGGAACGTACAAGTCGAGTTGGCTTCCCAAAGTGTCGTCCAGGTACCGAAGTCTTTTCTCCCCGAGCAAATCGTTGCCGAATTGGATAAACTGCAGGGCGACAGTTGTCCTATTTTTACCGAGTTCTTGCATTGTCCTGCTCAAGTTCTTGATCGGTTCTTCCACCCCGCATCGTACTTCTGTACCTCCCTGCCAGATTGCGTCAGTTAGGATATACACACTTATCCCACGACGATCTTTCTGCTGGCGGAACACGGATCCTTTCGTCAGGCCACTCTTAACGTGTTCCAATATCGGGTCGAGGCTGTTCTCCATGTTGCAAGGGCCCTCGGGTCGCTTTCGTCCATGCTCTTCAAGGGAGCGAACGAGAGAGGTGATTTCTTTTGCGCCACTCTTCTTGGCCTTTGTGGGCCGAGAAGTAAAGAACAGCTCGACTCCGTCTGGATCAGCATGCTTCACTAGGTATCCGAGGGCATGTACCACCTTGACCACCTGATCCCAATGATGCCTCCTCATCGTGCTCGAGTCATCGACAACGAATATCTGTTCTTGATTTAGTGCCGAAGAAAGCGGCGCCGTTACGAATGTGATTTACCTGTTCGCGACCGTTGATTTCCCTCAGGGCTCGTTCATGATCGCACAGTGCCTCGGGCGCCCAGCCGTTTTTCTTCTTATCGGTCATCCACTGGAGTACCTGGGAAATGGTGACTCGAGCGTATGGCTCGGGACGCATGGCGTTGCTCCCTGAGGCCACATCTGGCGAGCCATGCAAGAGATGCCCACTATGTGACCGGTCACCATCAGGTGGGGGATTCTGTAAGAGCCGATGATCTTCGACATCTGGCTGAGCTGGAAGTCCTTCCAAGTGTGGCTCATCTCTCACTGAACTAGACCTCTGGGGAATTCCTCTGTCGGAACGCTGGATTGATGTTGCTGAGGGATCCGGTTGTTGATTTCCAGATTCTAGAACTTCCTCGAAACGATGTAGCAAGGTCTTGGCTTCTAACCTGCTTTTCTTGCTGGGTCTGAGCATTTCTTTCAGGATTAGTTTGCCAATGGAATCCGACAAATCGTCGAAGACTCTTTTTCTTCGCTTGACGATGCCAAACATGATGTCGACGGCCTGAATCCGGGTCTCGCCATTGTGAAAGCAGCCAGAATATCCTTGGGATGCATGCTTCGGATCAACTGCAGTTTCGCGCTGCCGCATTCGGAAGAACTCGGATAGTCCCCTAAATCCACATGTTGTCCAGACCAAGACTTCGAAGAGCACGCAGCCCATGGACCAAATGTCTATGTCCCACAAGGCACCGTAATCAATACTAGCCAGCTGTGGGTAGTGGTTGGTCAGTTCTGGGGCCCCATACATTCTCGTGCTGTCGTTGTCCGGGCCCCTGACTGATTTATTCGTGCTCCTGACCAGGGCTATGCTGCTCATCCCGAAGTCCCCAATCTTGAAATTATAACGGTATGATGCCTTGTCACCTTGTCTGAACACAAAGATGTTGGCAGGCTTCAGGTCTTGATGCACACATCGAATGGTGCCCTCATTTCTGTTCCTGGAGCTCCGTTCGAGACTGTGAATGTGTTCGAGCCCGACGAATAGGTTGCTGAGGCTTGACCACAAGTTGTAAAGTTCATGTCGTTCCAGTGGCCACTCATTCTGTTTGAAAAAGTCCCACAAGCTCCCTTGATCGGTATACTCAAGCATGATAAATGCTTTATCCGCCTTCTTGAACGACCCATGGTATTTCAGAAAGTGCTGCTCGTATATCTCTGGAGGAACGTTGTTCTTGAGGGTAATATAGGAATCCACCTCGTTCTTGAATGAATACTCTATTTCTGAGGATTCGAACTCTTTAAGGACAATTGTGTCCTTTGGGAGGCCACGTCAGCGACATGAAGGACGTTCCATAACCTTTAAAGTCAACACGAAAATACATACAGCTGGGAGGCCACAGGATGGGTGGACTTCGCACTTCTTGACAGTTGTGTCCTCGCCTTTCCCGCCAGCAAGTACCTCTTTGACAGTGAAAGGCAATACACTCTGAGGCAGTAAGTCCTTTGACTGCAAAGTATTGGGGCCAAGAGCAACTGGGGAGAAGAGCCATTGATTCTGTTGAAAGTGTTCGAACGTGTGGATTCCATCAACTGCATCGGAGAGTGCTTCTGGCTTGGTCTTGAAAGGAAGACGAGTGTCGTTGATATCTTCCACCGTGAAGCTCTTGATGTAATGGAGCTTTATATTTCCGGGGGTAGATATGTAGACGAGAATCGAGAAAATCCGCAAAAATCTCGTCAGGATGTCCTCAATGGACACATGAATTGGCTTTTCATCTCTGCATGAATTCAGAATATGAAAAATCGGGTGGTCTTGCCAATATTGCTCCAACGTAGCGAGAGGAATGTACTTTGCACCGTTGCCTAGTCTATCTGTACCAAGACCTAGACAATCGGTACCTTCAACGTGATTGGCCTTTTTACCCACCCAATTGTGGAAGTCGAGGAAAGGCTGGAAGTCTGTCGACATCGATGTAATGTGGTCAGGTACCCTTCGCACCAGACAATGACAGATTCTGAAAGGTGGGCGTCTCGCGCAAGGAATTCTGGAGGCTGCTGAATCTGTGGTGGTCCGACGGGGTGCGCTCGTCTAGGAAACGTGCTGATCAGGCCGTTGTTTTATTCAAGGTGTTTAAGAGCATCAAGTGGAGGCATTCGACTAGACTGAGCGGTTGACTGGAGGAATCGGACCACGAGGGGATAGAAGTAATGTGTTGGATGGTCCAATAGAGGTGCTGGCTGCTTCTTGCTTGGTAGGCAACGGGTAGCCGAATTCGCAGCCGTGTATCAAGGTCCGCAAAGAACATCTAGGGTCTTATGTTCGAGACCTTCGAATGCCCTTTATCGCAACTAGTTCGGGTTCGAACATCATGGGCAATCGTGGATGCCAACAGAAGGAAAGCTGCCCCTCATTTGTACCTCTAGCAAACCCTTCTGTACAACTCGACATGCAGTCATCTGCAAAGGCGGGTTGACTGCCATCTCTCACGCTCGTTCTCGGCGTAACCAGCGTCTCCGTTCGGTCTAGCCCGGCCGGAGGCAATGTAACTCAGCCACAACGGGCTCTCACAAGGCAGTCTGCAATGTTGCGTAGTAAATTGTTCGCCTCCCCCTCCTCGGTGACACCTCCTTTTTCCACTCCCAAGCCGGGTTTTGTCAGCACGCAGGAGACCGCATCGTTCAGGCTATGATCTGCGTGCGGATTTCAGGAATGAAAGCATGTTAGGAAAGACAATTCCTATATAACTTCAACAGAATAAACCAATATCACCATCATATACCGCGTCCCGAGTGTGAAAAGAGCTGTCCCTAGTAGTGGTACAATCGAGACTGCGCATAAGCGAGTCATGTAGCCTACTACACCTGGTCCTATTCAGACAGTCTGCTGTTGCTCCTCGTCTCCTTGGCTGTGCTGGCGCCTCATGCGGTTGTTCCACCAGTACAGAGCCCACCAAACACAGATGATGGCCCCAGTCATAGGAAAGCAAATTAGTGAAAACAAAGTGAAGAATTCCGGTTTCCAGAATGGCATTGATGACCCGTCTGGGTCGTTCTGGTCCCACTGAAATGCCCCGCTGCTGAAGAAGGTCTGGTCTGATGTCAGAGATCCCGTCAACTCAGAGAAAGACGGTAGTAACCCAAAAAGTCTTACGGCGACAAATGTAGCGGGAAGGAAGAACAGTGTGACCAATGTGATGATGTGCATGGACGAAGTCTGTATCGCCGTCTTCTCTGCGACCTTCTTCATGCTCTTCGTCATCGCCTCCATCTCGAGGCTCGACTGGTGCATGTCGTTGGTCATCATCTCCACATGCTTGCCGCTCTGATGAGCATTGATGGCAAAGAGTTTGCTGAACTCTGTGTTGCGAAATTGGAGAATATGATCAAACTAGCGATGGTGCGTCAACTACTAGACTTAGGGCAGTGCAGATAGTATGGGTCTTGCTCACCAACCACTTGCCATCCTCGCACATTCTCATGAGAGTCTCAGATCGAGACTGCTCCATCTCCAGGCCTCTGGTGACTGCCCTCGCTCGTCGGAAAAAGCCGTTTAGGTCTGCGGCGCAGTCCTGCTTGATATCCACGGGCATGTCATTGCTTTCAGCCAACATTTTATAGTAGTCCGTTATCTCGCGGATGACGTCCACATTCAGCTTCATGACAAGTTTTAGTTCATGGAGTCTTGTCGCAATGTCTGTGAGTTTCTGTAGCCCGTCCACACTAAATTCCTGCAGGACACTGAACTTGCTTTCATGAACAGTCCCGGGAGTGAATTGTGGCTGTTGCAGTGTCGACGGTTTTAGAACAGGCTTGAGCGGTTCCGGTGGGGTTTTGGTTTCAATCAGTTCTGGAGCATCCTGTGTTTCTGCGTCCACGCTGGTTGACGCTTTAGAGAACCCACTCAGGATCCGTGTCGGAGTGACTGACGACAAGACGCTGCGAAAGGTGTCTGCTCTTGAGGGCGACTTGGCATAGACAGCAGAGTCAGTCCGGCGAGGCAATTTCCCGGTTGTTGCTGCAGTGGAGGTCAGATGCTGAAGGAGAGAATCCGGATCCAGGCTCAGCACTTCCTCGATTTTCTTGAAGGGGTAATTTTTTGCTTTCTTCAGTAGATCGCTCAGCTTGCCTTCCAGATCGTTGATCAGTGTTTTCCAATTCTCGCCACTCCATTCCAACACAATGAGAAGCGTCAGAAGAGATGCAGAGAAGGAACCACTGGTTGTCTCGCGCGAGCCAGGCTGCATCTGGCTGATTGAGCTTACGGCTTGTGTGATACGCTCTTGCATTAGGTCATTTCCCTTGATGTTGATCCAGACGTTACGTCCCGTGCACACGTCGAAAGAGTGACACACCGCAGTCTGCCGGACTGACCAGTACGGAGGGCGATCTGATTTCTCGACCGACCAGAGATTGAAACAGTGCCTGATCTCTTGGCCCGATCTTCCCAGTCTGGGGATACAGTGCCTCTTGGCGTCAGAGACATCAAGAAAGTTCTCTTCGTTGAACGCAGTGTAGTGAAAGTCCTCTTCTGACACCTGTTTTCCAAAGGTGAAAGCAAGGTCAAGGAATCGGGGCATTGCTTGTAAGAATGATAAGGTGTATGCGAATGTTTCCTTCGAGCAATCGAGGGGTGCGCGAGAATGATCAGCGGTTATAAAGCTAGGTTTGATGTTAGACTATGTGACAAATCATATAAATTTATGATTGATCCGTGCTTTCCTCCTCTCGCTTGAATATAGGGATACTCACACATGCCGGCATCGCGGGTCTTTGCGTTCAGTCTGGAAGTGGCTTCTCAATTCGTCCACAGTCCTGTATCTTTTCAATGGTCCGAATTCTGATCAAAGTTCTTAGTAAACTAACTCAAACTTTTCATACTATCGACCTCAAGAGCTGACTTACCACAGCCATCATACGCTTCGAAGAGCTTCACCCCAGAAAAGTCAGGGTCATCCTCGAATAAGCGTGACTCCTGCCGTCCGAGAGCGTCGTTGTATGCCACCAAATCATGCTTAAATGAATGTGATCGCAACAAATTTGAGGGATAGGCATTGAAATCAGTGATGGCGTCGCTCAAAGTATCGTATTGATCATAGAATTCCATTTCACCGGGAAGCTTTTTCAAAATTGGCTGAAGTATGAGATATCTGTCAGCCGGGTCGGGAACCAGCGTACCTTTTGAACTCATTCCACAATCCAAGCACGTTTGAGGTGACTTACTGAGCCCCAATTGACCCTTTCGACTCTGGGGTGAGATTGTAGAATGCTGATGTGCCCTGCACAAGCTGAAAATATCGAAGCCTCTCGGAGACGGTCCACACAACGGCCATTGGACCGTGGCCACCTTACGAGAACCATGGAGGCGCGAGGTTATTGTCGTACGGCATGTGTACAGCATGACAGGGCGCAGGCTTGTCTGACACTGATTGGTGGATGCTGCATGTGCGCCACCGGCTATGTGGATGGGCATTCAGGCAGGAAACCGGTGAGGCAACCTCGGAGATCAGGCCTCCACCCTCTCGCCCCTTTCAGGAGTCCCTGTGTCTAGCCTCCTTCACTGCCTTGAATGCCGTGGGGGTGATTGACTTCCTGCTGGTTTTGTCCAGGAAAACATGACGTTCCTTGCTTGGTCTCCTACCGCGCCTATCTCGTGTCTCGCTGCAATCTTGCTTTTCCCATATCGGAACAGTACATCGTTGAACCGCTTCATAACACATGGCCACAGTGTAGGGCAGAAGAAACGAATGTGCCTTGTGTGACCCAAGCAGGGAGCTGCTCCCCGCATCCGTGCGCCCACAGGTTGCCTTAGACAACCAACCCCACCCACCAGCCTCTGCAATGCCTCCTTTTTCATCTCCGCCACATGTTTGAGCAGTGGTTCATTTTATCCAGGGCGTCGTCGTTTCCGGAGCACCCTGTAGAGATCTTGCAACTTTGCCTTCATATATATATACACATATTAGTAGTCATACTCTGGTACGATTGGGGAGCCTTCTCTCTGCGATAGGTCAGGCTTACTTCGTCGAGCACTTGAGGTAGATCCACGACGTAACTGTCACTCTGGGCTGTCTGCGTTCCTTCGTTAGGCTCTTCTGCCCCCACGATGAAATCAACCTTGGACAGTGCGTAGATGCAACTTGATGTAATACAGCTGACTTACATTTACGACGATGTTGTGACCAGGAAACAAGCGCTCCAAGTAGTCTCGCAGTCTCTCTGGTGTAATCCGGTATGTTTTGATATACTGCTCTACCATGTTGATGGCTGTTGTGCATGAAAAGACGAAGTTGTACGGTGGGTCTTGTTGGCACAGAGGGAGGAGTAATCGGCGGGAACTTACACCTGGGCACGTCAGTCTGGGCAGAAGTGGTATATATTCAGTGCTGCATAGGCTATGGGCGCGACCCACGACCCAGCAGCCAACAGCTACTTCAGTGAGTGAGGCTGCCAGGCACGAGTCCGACCTGGCCACTGACCTCAGAGAGAGTTGCTTCAGGCTCTACCAGGACACGGGAACTGTCGCGCCCGCAGAGCCGCATTTCATGGGCTGGCATTGTCTGCTATTGGCCGTCGCTTTAGCACCGTTCTTGAGCTGCAGGAAGCTGCACCTCCCTGGTCACTGTGGCCGAATCCCACGCCTCTCAGCTCATTGCCCTGGTATCAAATCCAAAAATCGCAGCGCGGTTACTTAGTCTATTTGCCTGGTACCGTGCATTGTGGTGTGCATGTCCTCTCGTCAGGTCTTCTCAGCCAATCCAGTTTCCTCTTTCCCATGCACGACGTGGACTAGACAATCTTGATTATAGCCTATATTGGTCAGTACTGATGGGGCAGCTTTGCGTCTTCACCCTCTGCGAAAACTTTTGAGAGGCCACTGGTCTCATGCGATAGCACGTGGGGGTGGCGATCTGGAATCCTGACACTGGTCAGACGTGTACGAATCGAGGGCTGGCGGAGCTTGTGTTCTGGCCCTTATCGTGAGCTTGCTTTGCACCTGTGTCGTCAGTTCAGTCTCTAAGAGTGAAGTTGCTATGGAATACCCTCCTATGGGATAACATCAATTCGATCCTTCTGATGATGTCACGTAACGCAGAGATAGGAAGAAAAGTCAACCGCTTCCACAGTGAATCATTGATGTCGTGAGGCACGGCGTTGATACGCAAGGTGCTTGGTATTACCGCCCTCAAGGGTACCGTACCCAGTTTGTCCTGCTGGCAGCGACAATCAAGTTCAGTCCTACACAGGGTTTAAGGTTATTTTCCCGGGGCAAATTGGGGAGACTTGCAGCAGCCAGCAGACCACTTTTCTTTTTTTGCACGGCCTTACCGAACGACCTGACCAACAACAGACCGATGGTGCGCCCCACAAATTGACAGGCCGCGCGGACTCTACTGGGGCGATGAAGAGTTGTACGAACACATGATTGATGGTGATTTGTGGTTGATAGGATCCAGTAGCTGACAGAATCCCAAAGGCGGAGAGCGCACCGACGCTAATGCGTTCCTGTGGTGAGGCCTAGCGGCCACAGCAGCCGCAGTGATCCTTCATCCCACCTTGCATGTAAGCTGCAGGAAGGATTCTTCATCACTCACAACGTGGTGAGCGACAAAAGACACCCCAAAATATAGAATAAGGGTTATATTCTGCTCTCAAGCATACCTGTCGACGATAATCAAATCCTCAGTGGCTATCGCTGGGAAATTTAATGATGGCGCACAGCATTTTGAGGCACAACTCGACTCAAGCCAGCAAGAAATCCGAGTGCTGGTCCTGCACCCTGGGAACTTTCATGACCCGATAAATTGCACGCTGGGAACCGTTTCCCTGAAGAGTTGCCCGCATTTCAACGCCTTGTCGTACGTTTGGGGAGACTCCCGCCTGAGGGGCGACATCGTCCTCAACGGCGTTCCTATCACCGTCACCCGCAACCTGGAAACAGCCCTCCGCCACCTGAGAAGCCACCCGAAACATCATGTCGACACCACGGCGACCCCTCTCTGGGTCGACGCCGTGTGCATCAACCAGGAGGATTTTGATGAGAGAAACGAGCAAGTGCGGATGATGAGGGACATCTACAGCCTCGCAGATCGAGTAGTCATATGGCTGGGCGAGGGCAACGCCGATTCCGACTGGGCCATGGAGCGCTTCAGCGACCACAGCTTCCGTGATTCCCTTCCCTCTCTGGGCGCGGATCCTCGTCGTCTCACAGATGACCAGGTCAAGGCCAGTTTGATATTGGGGGAGAAATCTGGGCCGCCGCCCGTGGTGGACGAGGATCTGGGTTCTCCAGGAGATGGTTCTGGCCTCCAAAGACCCGGTCCTGGTATGCGGTGCAAAGGATATGCTTTGGGCGTGGTACTCTGCCACCGGGCCATTGATGACATTGAGCAATGAATTGCATCGAGTCGACCGAGAAAGGTGAGGGAATCGCTAGACAGGTCAAATCGCTCCCTTTCATCATCACCTCCATTTACCGGTGGGTACGGATCCGTGAGCGATACCATCAGCTGGGACCAATGGCTTTCACGGAGATCTTCCCGGCCTTGTTGTCCTGCCGTGCGACCGACAATCATGATCTCGTCTACGGAACGTTAGGTCTTGCTTCACTTGAGGAGTCAATGAAGATCACCATCGACTACCGAAAGCCCGTAGAAGAGGTCTACCGCGAGGTGATGTCAATCATATGGACTTCAAACCCTATCACGTCGTTACGCGGGGCACAATCCATTATGTGGCTCGGAGATGACACTGAAGACGAGATTTCATCCATCCTCTCTCACACAATTCCTTCATTTTCCTTCAATTTCCGCGGCGGCGATGGTCCCTCCTGGATCCCTGATTTCGCGGCCCAGTATGATCTCGAGAGTGAGCCATTTAGCGGCTCGGGCTTGCTCGGCAGCGGCCCTTGGAATGATCCAGAACAAGTCGAGATATCGCAAGATAAACAAATCCTCAGAGTCAGAGGCATCAGGCTTGACGTTGTTGATAAGGCGATCCATGTCTTATGTTTCTATGGCTTCAGCCCAGATCAGACGGAACCAGGCGACGTTAATCTCCTAAAGAGCGCTGAAAAGATGATAACGGAGGGCAAACAACGATCTGTACCAAGAAGCTCACATTTGCACCCCTTGGACCAATTACGCCACCGACAGAAGGTCCCAGAATTTCTTGCGTTGGCCGAAGACGCCATCGCGTCCGACCCAGAACTTGACCTGAACATGCTCTGGGAGGTGCTGCTCGAGAGACAGGAGATGCCCCGGTCTTGGCTGCCTGAGGAGAGTCGGGAGGAAGAGGACCATGATGAAATCAAGACGGCCATGCTCAGCCCGCTTGTTGAAGGTCTTGACCGTAGATTGAGCACTCGCAAAGTCTTCATCACGGAGTATGGCTTCGCAGGGGTGGGGACAGCAAATCTGGAGGAACAAGACATTCTTGTTTTACCCTCCGGAGCTGCGTGCTTCTATATACTCCGTCCGGCGTATGAAGGTTACCAGATGATTGGATTCGCCTATGTCTCGGGGCTAATGGACTTCCAGCAGCTTCGAGCTTGTTACGAGCAAGGAGTATTGGCTCTTCAAACCTTTGATATTTGTTAGAACATGAGGTCCTCCCTGTGATCCTATAAAAAGGAAAAAGTGGTTATTTCGCTGCTTCTGAGGCCCAGGTCTGGAATATGAATAAAGTCATTGAAGGCTTCCTGCCCTTCTGCTTGATTGGAACCAAACCGATGGTATAAGTGACTTAGCAAGTCCGAGACACAAAGCAAGTTAAGGAGATGCATGAACAATATAATCAGTTTTACAGATCCTTATTTCTTGCCAATGATAGGAGGAGGAACTCACAGGACTTCGCGCGTGGAGGCTTAGATGGCATGGAGTCAAATTGCCCATACCTTGCCTGGTTCATGCTTCACGTTTGTGGGTCCCTCGTCTTGTCTTTTTCAGTGCTCTGGTGCTGGCGTGGTTATGCCTGAAAATGGATTTTATCCGTGTCTAAAAAAGAAAGTTGATCACGTTAGGAGGCATGATTATGCACGTTTCTATAAGTTTATTGAATCCTAGGTATATTTGAAGTCGTTTATAATTACGGTGCTCTTTTCTAACGCAGTACCACAAAAGTGGCAGCGCGGACCATTTCACAGGCATTCCAAGGCACACGCACCATTCATAAAACAGCAACGATTACGGCATGATTATGTGGAATCAAGACATTGTAAAAATCGTAATGCATTATGCCCAGTCATTGCTGTTGGTTAAAACATTGATAAATTCGAATACAATTCAATGTCAAGACGATGGAATGCAGGTGTGATGTCATCCTCATGGAGACAGCTTATAAATGCATGCCTGCAGTTGTGCGGCAAAGGTACAGTACATTATCGTCGCTTCCAATCGTGACCTAACTTGCCCCTCTCCAACATCTGCTCGTACCACCAAAGTACGACAACCAACAACAGACACAGCCAGCACTCCCAAGACCAAGATGGCAGCCACATCACAGAAGACCCTCTTTCTCGTCGGCCCTGGCCTCATCGGTGGCTCACTGCTGGTGAAGCTCAAGGAAGTGAGGCCAGACCTAAAGCTGCATGCCCTTACGCGCCGTGACGACCAGGCCGCCGAGCTGAAGCAGCAAGGGATCGAGCCGGTGCGGGGCTCCTTGGAAGACGCAGACACCATAAAGGAATGGGTTGCCAAGAGCGACATCATCATCCACACAGCCTCCGCGGACGACGACAAGGGTGCTTTTGCCATCGTGGAAGGCCTCAAGGCACGGCCCAAGGGTTCGAAACGGGCCATCTACATCCAAACCAGCGGCAACGACGAGCTTGCCAACTCTGCGAAGGGCCTGGCTGCCAATTCTGAGGGGAAGACCCTGTCCGATCTCAACCTGACGGACGAGGACATTGACGCGCGAATCGCGCCGGACGCGTATCATCGCCACGTGGACGGGCACCTGCGGAAGGAGATCCTCAACCCTGAGAAGGAGAAGGAGTACAATGTCGTCTCCAGCCTGATGATGCCACCCCTCATCTACGGCATTGGCTCAGCACCTTGGCACCGGATCTCGATCCAGACTCCGATGCTCACGTCGTTCATGATCAAGAACGGACTGGTCACATTGCCGGAAGGCTTCTCCGGCGTGTGGAACTGCGTGTGGGTGCACGATCTCGTGGACCAGTATGTCGTGCTCCTGCAGCACCTCGAGAAGCTTGAGCCAGGACAGCAAAAGACGCACTACGTCTTCCCTGCTGAGAAGAAGCCTTTCTCGTGGAAGGAGCACTTTGACGCTGTCGCGGGAGAGCTGAAGAGGCTGGGCCACCCTACGGCAGAGTCAAACGGCGGCAAGCCTAGAGAGTTGAAGACCAAGGAGGAGTTCATCGAGTTCGTTGGCGGCAAGGACAACCCGTACAGCGAGTGCTTTGGCTATATCGTGTGGGGGACCGAGAACAGCTACACCAGCCCTGAGTATGTCAACCTCCGAGCACAGCTAAGGCGGTTTAGCTCCCTTTATTTCCCCCTCTTCTCCATCTTCCTGCTGAATGATTGACTGACCTGCTTGACAGCCTGACGGCGAGCCTCGGGTTCAAGCACAAAGCCAAGGGTGTGGTGGACAGCATCGTCAACGGCAAGGAGCTGGAAAAGTTCATCAAGGACCAGATCAATTGAACGCTGCAGGACAGGGTAGCCCAGGACACCGATTGATGTTGCGCGTATCCATGTCCAGTTCTCTAATTTTCTAACTGGCATGATTCTCTGCTTGGCCTAGCGTACCAGGGCTTCTTGAGATTTGTCCGGACGAGGACTGGCAAAACTGATCGTGCCGTCAAGTCCCATTAAAATGGCGTTGAATTATTGCTCTATTGGAACCCCATGCAGTAGGTGACGATGCCTTCTAGCAAGAAATTGATCAATAACAAAATTGGAGATTCAGAATTTCAGGCACTGAAGACATCAAGTCCCTAAGATCTGTGCTGAAGTGAATGTCAACACGGGCGTCGCACTGGACCGCGTGTTCTCGAACAACAACTCGCACTTTAGGTACCGAATCCGCGTGAAACTGCATGATGCTTATTATGGCGCTTTTATAAGGGAAAGAAAACAACGAAGTATATAGTAAGCAATTCGATGCTGTCACAATTTTGGCGCAGTGGGTGCTTGAAGGGGGCAGACAACGACGACCTCGACTACACGGTATGGGACGCTTACATAAGCGTCAGATCGGGATTGACCTTGCAAAGTCCTCAACGTTCGGGCTTGTCTCCCCGGAAAAGAACTGCTGTATCTACACCATAACGTGCGTACCGATCAGTGATGCTTTAATGGCCTCCCTGAGCCGGACGGTATGGCGTCTGAACAGACGGACAGGTTCAAACGCCCCTCTCCTGTGGTGCCCTGCTAGGAGAGGCATCTCAACCGGCTGGCACACCCAGACCTCACAACCCTCAAGTCGCGTCCAGGTCTACACCTCACACAGCCACAACCCCTACCTGAACCTCTCGGCAGAGCACTTCCTCCTCCAGAACTCACACCCGGAGTCCACGGTCCTCTTCCTGTACACCAACGACCCGTGCATCGTCATCGGCCGCAACCAGAACCCATGGCTCGAGGTCAACCTCGGCCTGCTGCGCGGCTTCAAAGCCAGGACGAGTGGTGATGAAGGAGGCAAGACCAGCAGTGTCTCTCTCGTGCGCCGGCGCTCGGGCGGCGGCGCCGTCTTCCACGACAGCGGCAACGTCAACTTCAGCGTCATCTGCCCGCCAGCAGCGTTCGACCGCAACAAGCACGCCGAGATGGTAGTCCGGGCGCTCCGGGGGCTGGGCATCGCCACGGCGCGGGTCAACGAGAGGCACGACATCGTCCTCGACCGGGGAGGCCACGACGACAGTCGCGGAGGCTCACCACCAGCCGAGACGTTCAAGATCTCCGGGTCCGCGTACAAGCTCACGCGCCTGCGGTCGCTGCACCACGGCACGTGCCTGCTCAACTCGCCGAACCTGGCTGACATCGGGCGGCTTCTCAGGTCGCCGGCCGAGCCGTTCGTCAAGGCCCGCGGCGTCGAGAGCGTGCGCAGCAGGATCTGCAACGTCGGGGTGCCTGCGGGGAACTTTATGGACGCCGTCAGGCGCGAGTTCGGTGCCATGTACGGCGCGCCGGATGTCGATGTTGGCTTGGGCGCCGGCGGGGATGACGGCGCGGATTTTGCGCACGAGACGATACAGAAGGGGTACCGGGAGCTTACAGTAAGACCCCTACCTGATTAGGAAGCGTCTGAGGAGGTGAGTTGTTTGCTGATAGATGTCAATTATTGCTGCACAGTCCCGGGACTGGATCTACAGCCAGACGCCGCTGTTTACCTTTTCGACACATCCCTCCGAGGACGACCCCAGGGAGAGGCCGTCTGTTCCGCTGGACCTGCCAAAAAAAGTGAGTGGCACAATCCCCACTGTATGGTAAATCCCTTGTTTGATCCGAGATGACTGAAATAGTCTACAGTTCCGCGCAACCATCACCGCACGTCACGGGCAGATTCAAGAGGCCGAGTTGTACGGCTTCGACGGCTCTGCCCTACAGGGCCAACACCTTCACACAGTCACCGACTGGCGAGAGATCCTGTCACCTAGCGGTAATAGCGCATCACGGCAAGTCGGCAAGTGGTTCAACCACCTGTTTGGCATTAGCGACACCGCGTGAACGCTATAGGATACCATTTCTTCAATGCATCTGCACGCTCCATAGACAGCCCCCAATATGATGATACCCCCTCATACCACAGGCCCCATGCCAACGGACACAACCTTTCATGAAGAGCTGTTCCTACCTCCCCTAAATCCTGCTGTATGCTTATTCCAGATTCTGCTGCACATTCATGACGCCCCGGCCATACCACTCCGCCACCGTCGCGAAGCGGTCCTCGCTCCGCTCGAGCTCGTCCTTGAACAGCTCGTGGCGGTCGGCGTTCTCCTCCTGGCCGCGCTTGATGGCGCGGATGGTGGCGTTGTTCTGCGCGCACAGCGGGCACTCGCCCTCGACGCCGTCGCCCCCGCGCAGGCAGCGCTGGTGGAAGCTGTGCTTGCACAGGAAGTGCACCGCCGGCAGGTCCAGCACCTGCGTGCACACGGGGCACCGCGTGGCCTGGAACACGGCCGGCTTGGCGCCCAGGTCCGCGATCTCGGCCCGCCGCTGCTCCGTCTCGGTCCGGAACCCCGCCACCCGCCGCCGGTTCGACGCGATGTCCTTGCGCTCCCGCTCGATCGTCTCGTGCAGGTACGGCTTGATCATGCCCATCGTCGCCACCGCGTTCTTGGACAGCATCTGCACCACCTGCAGCGGCGCCATCAGGCCGTCCTTGTCGATCGTCTGCAGGACGTTGGCAAGCTCGTCCAGGCCTGCTTCATCGAGGACGCGGGAGTCGGAGGTCAGGTAGGCCAGGGCCGCGGGGTAGAGGGAAGGCTCCTGTGGGCCGTACTTGCGCAGGGCTTTCATGGCGCCGCGCGTGTCTTTGGCCGAAGTGTAGGAGCGGAAAATGTCCGATAGGAGGCCGGCCTGCTCCTTGACAAGCGTCGTCCCGTCCTGGAATTCTGATAGATGCGACAATAGTAGCACATTGGAGTTTTCTATGGGCACGCCGCGGCCTTCGATAAGTTTCTTGGCTTTTTGCTCCCACTGCTCTCGGTCGTGCTCGCTCTTCACCTCCGTGGATTTGTGTAGGTACATCTCAAACAGAGTCGTGTAAAGATCGGCCTTGTTCTCATCTGCTATGCTCTCGTCTCCAAGGCATGCTTCGAGGAAGACGATGAATTCGTCGGGGTGATCTATGAACGACGAAAAGGCGGTCCGTGGTTGCGGTGGTGTGTATTTCGGAGGTGGGACATCGTCGGCATCGAGCAGAACGGCGCCATCGCTGACAGTTTGCTCTATGTTCCCTTGGGTCGGCGGTGAGGCCACCGCAGACGAGTTCATATACGGCAGAGGAAGAAGGTTAGAAAGGTTCTGGACGGCGCTCACTGCGCCCGCTGCGAAACCGCCACCTGATGCAGGGGTCTCAATGGTGTCAGCATGGCGCACCCTGGGACGATAGTTCCCGGTATAATAGTCGATAAATAGCTGCGTCGAGCTTTTTGGACAATTCTCAATGAGTACCCGGGCATATTTCATCAGGCATGGGTAGGCCTAGACTGCATTAGCCTCTCGTTGTCTCTTCAGTTGGGTCCGTACTCACCGTCTGAGGATCAAGATGCCATATGAAGGCAAGGGCCTCCTTATAGTCCTTCAGATCCTCGATCAGGATATCCACTACCAAGTCATTTTCACCATGTTTCTTGGCGAGGTAGGCAGCCTGCTCAAAATAACCTCCTTGCCTGCACATTGTTATCGCCGTGTCCAGGTCAAACTTGAGCTCTCCGGGTTGCTTTATGAACGCCTCCAGCTTCTCGATATCTTTCAATTTTGCATAGCAGTTCAAGAGAAGTGTCGTGTGGTCCGAGGTGGCTCTCCCATGCTCATGGAGCTGCTCCAAATATTCGATGAGGTTGTGTATCCTCTGTGTGTCCAAGAACTTCCTGATCACTTGGGACGGTTCCGTGTTGTCGATCGCTTTAATGTACTGGGCCATGGCTTGATCATATTCTCCTTTTTGATACAGGTGATCGCCGTACCTGCGGAAAATGACGTTTTGCTGTTGGGTGTCCAGGCCGGCAGTCTGTGCAAGGGATATCGCAAAGGGGTAGAGATTCCTCTGGTAAAGCAACTCCAGCCTCTGTTGGAGCGTCTTTTCGTGGTATCTGTAGACCTTGCCATCTTGCGTCAATGTGTATAGATCGCCCCATAGCTCGAAAACGGCGAGAACCTTGGTGATGAGGGTCTCGGTGTGTGCAATCACCTTGAGATCTGGCTCAAGCAGGGAGAATGTCGATGCGTTAAAGATGGCGTCCGCAGCATTGCCACCGAAGCGCCTGCGTAATGCATTCGGGTCTTGGGCTGATTTCGGAGGCGACACAATCGCAACGTACTGTTGGTATACCGTCACTAGCTCCTTGGGCGAATCGTATGCTTTGGGAGGCCCCCGCCCCTCGGCCGTGTAGTAATAGATCGCATCATCTCTTGCGACGATGACGCTCCCGTCTCGCTTATCCACCGCCATGCATCCAACGCCACAACCCTGGTCCTCAACTGTTTTTGGTGGCTGCCCCTGCCCCTTCCCGGAGATTGTCAACTTCAGTATGCGTGAAACGGTCGAGATGAAGAGGGTGGTCAGTCTTTCGTCGACCCGCAGTTCGACTCCAGTGATGGGTTCCTCGGACTCGTAGACAATTCGTTGCTTTGTGCCGCGGTCATTGACCAGGTCTCCCCGTATGACTGTCACCGCGCCGTTTGCGAAGCCGACGGCAATCTGGGACAAGTCTTCTGTCGCGGCAAAGGCCGATACCTAGAAGTCTTTCAGCCATGCAACCACTTTCAAGTGCGCCTCGAGGTACGCACAGGAAACTGTTTCCTCCCATTGTAGATTGTCACGCTGCTCAGGCAGGTCGGCATGCCCGTCTTCTTGACCGGCTTGTCCAAAGCCCAGACCTTCAGCACTGGCTCGCCGCTGAGATCCTCCTATTGAACAGAACAAGTCAGTCCGTCGACCTTCACAGGGGTCTCGCAAGTTATGGGTTTCCCGGGTATAAATCGTACTCCAACTGTGACTAGCAAGCTCGTCCCCTCGACCTGGCGCATGTGCGAGATGCGGACATTCTCGTGTGCCTGGAAGCTGCGGACGATCCGCCAGCTGGGTCCCACGATGCGCACATGGCCGTCCGAGCTGCCGAGGAAGAGGCTGTCGGAGCCGGAGCAGACGCTGGAGATCTCGTTGCTGTCGAAGAAGGCGCGCGTCTCGTCGTCGTCGGAGAGCTTGACCTGGCTGACATCGAAGAAGTCGAAGGATTTCCACTGCAGCGACGCGCGAGGGGGGTTAGTGTCTGTCTGGATCGCACCAGGGTTTTTTGGACGCAGAGGAGGACCTACAGAGAGGGCCATGCTGTGCCTATCGTTGCCTCCGTGACAACGAGCTGGGCGCCAGTCGCATAGTCGTTTAAGAGACAGGGGGAGGTGGTGTTGTCTGGCTGAGTGGGAGACGGTGACGACGAGCTCCCACCCCTGCCGTCGCTGATAGCTGCCGCTGCGGCACCGTGTCTTAGCGTGGCGCGAGCTGGTGATGCAGCGGTTGCAGGGGTGTGGAGCCTGGGAGCACCTCGGCCTGTCCCACCCTTGCAACAGCTCCGGACAACTGAACTGGAGACTGGGTCTCGACCAAAGAGTCAACATCCACACTACGCAGTCAGGCAGTGCCTCTTCCACCTCTGACTGTCTCTCATGAATAGAGACGAAACTTATTCTCTGGTCTCATGACCTATTTTTGAGCTGTATTGATCGAGTCGCCGTGCACCAGGCAACGATCAATCTAGCTATGGGGTGTCCCCTTGCTCCAGTCTTTACTGGGTCATGCGTGGCTCCCAATGACAGCGTGTACGTGTCTGCCCAGGTTCTCTTCAACAAGGCACAACAGTATCTAGGCATGCCACGTCCGTTCTGACATACCGTTTTCTGGCATGGCATAAGTGGTTGAATGTAAGCGCTTCAGCGATTAATTCATGCTCGGCCAATTCAACACGCCTCAAACGCGATCATTCCATGGGGAAAGCAGATTCCGTGAGTTGAATCATGTTTTGTATTTGATTGTTACCACTTAGGTATGTAGGTATTTACAGGTTCTGAACTATGTATAGGAAAACAAGTCTTGAGCTACTCTCTGCCCACTGCTCATTGCCAAACTCTGCTCTTCCTCTTCATCCCGACAGGAGCGCTTAGGCGTACTGACCCTTCATCTGGCCAGTAACCGATGGGTTCTTGACGATGTACGCACCACGCTCGATCGTGTTGACGAGGATGTTGCCGGAGGGGAATCCGGCGTAGTGAGACCAGGTGCCGGTGAAGGCGACGTTGCCGCCGCCGGTCTGGGCATCGTCATCCGGGAAGACATCGAAGAATGCAACCTCCTTGATGCCCTTGCCGGTGGGGTCGCGGGGCACAGAGGACACGTCGAGGACGCGGAGTCCAGCGCCGTAGTTTGACTGGAAAGATAGCCCGTTGTGCACGTACTGGTTGTGGTCGATGGACTTCACCGAGGACTTAAAAAGACCGGTCTGCTTTGGAGCGCGGAGGTCGCGGATGTCCCAGACATAGGTGACCGGGAATCCGTCAGCAGCAGGTGCGCGGCCGTCTTCCTCGTCGTACTCGTCGTCGAGGAGGAGGTACTCCTGGTTGTTGGGGTCCAGGACGGAACCTTGGTGCGTGTAGGACGCCCCAGTGTAGCTGGTCCTGGAGATGATGGTCGCGGCGGCCTTGTTGGTGACGTCGTAGATGGTGAGGGTGTCCTCGTTGTATCCATAGCAAATGTCACGGCCAGTGTAGCGGGTGTCAGGTCCGCGGTAGACCAGGCACTGGGCATCGTGGACATAGCCGTCACCAGGGGCACAGCCGGGAGAGGTGGGGTTGGCAGGGTTCGACAGGTCGATGAAGATCAGCCCAGACTTGCACTTGTCCGTGCGAGGGGCAGCGCCGACTGCAACGGCAAAGTTCTTCTCCTCGAGGGAGACAACGTTGTGGGTGCGACCAACAGGGAGGCCGTTGAAGAGCGAGATGTCGCTGGTAGTGCTGAAGGTCTTGGGCGACGTGACAGTCAGGAGCTTCCGGGCATCGAAGATCTGGACGCCGTGATTCTGGGCCTCACTACCGATGATGAAGTAGTTCTTCACCGTCCTGATCTCGCGCCACTGGGAGGTGACGGATTGCTGGGGGAGGCGACCGAGGTAGGTGATCCGGCCCGTCTTTGAGATCTCGATGAATGCAGTGCCGTCCGCCTGGCCAACAGCACCGAACTCACGTCCTTCGGGAGACGTCCAGCCCCAGGAGGAGGAACCCGAGCCGCTGCGGCTGCCCAGCTCAGCATGTGTCTTGAAGTCTTGGAGGTCGAGGTTGCTGCAGCGGAATGTCTGCAGACGGTCGCCCGGGACAACAACGGCTTGGCCGTTGACACACTTGACAGGGGCAGGGAGGGTCTGGAACAACGCTGAGTTGTTGTATGCTCCATCGGCGCGGCGTTGCTCCCACTCGTCCTATTTGATGTCAGCTTCGAGATTATACTTATCTGGAGGCGTGTCACAGTACCATCTTGTAGTGCATGATGGCCTCGTGAACCTTTCCGGATTGGTACATCTCCTTGGTGATTTCGCTCTCGCCGAGAAGGGACTTGAGCGAGACGGCCGCAGCCATGGCCGGAGCCAACAGAGCCAAAGCGGACTTCATGCTGAGTGATTAGGTAGGAATACAGGAAACACTGATGGTGAGGACACGGAACGAATGTGTGGTGATGTGGTGAGTAGCAAGGCGGTAGTCAGGCAAAAGTATGAAGAGGGCATGTTTGCTTTAAATCGTTTCCGCGTATTGTTTGCCTTATGTGGTGCAACAATTGAAAAACGCTCCTACCTTCCTCGCAGAGATAGCGCTGCGGAGGCAAGAATAGGTGCTTGATTGTGACCTTCTTTTCGGGAAAGCGCAATCCCACCCAGGTAGTCCTGATGAAGCAGGTCAAGCCAGCGATAGCGGGAACGTTCAATCCAGAGATCTTGGCTTTGACTTGGCTTTCCCTTGGCTTCATTTATTCCGCCCGCGCTGGCCAATTGGACCACTTGCTACGGTCAGACGCCATCGTGACCCCTTCTGCTATCAGACTTATACGACTTAGCCGTGGTCTTGGAATAGTAGACAACCGGTTGAGTGAGTGGGACTGTTACCAGCGGACACGATAATACCTGTCAATAGTATGCCGGCGCTATTGGAAAGGTGACAAAACAGTGGTGAAAGAAGGTGAATTTTGTTGAGAGCGTCGGCAAGTTAATCAAAAGCCGATGAGGTCACTCTGATTACAACAAGTGGGCTGTATTGATTTCTTGAATTAATTTCTGGCTTAGTCCTATGCAACACGGGAAACCTCTAGCCCGCCTGAACCGCTGATACCTGGCACTTTGAGGTTCACGAGTGGAGACATTGTCCTCCTGGCCGGTTGGCATAGGTCTTGTCCTAGATCTTGGCATGACCTGGGAGGGAAGGAGGAAACAGAGGAGCAAACTTCTAGGTTGGAAAGACGGGTCAGCTAGTGTGCCGTTGCAGGCACTCGATTTCGAGCCTCTTCTAGAAGATGTGTTTCTAGGATCCCCTTACTTTGGGCAAACTTTCTTCGATCAAGCTTCCTTTGAATAATATTGTGTCAGGTGATTCTCCACAGAGAGTGTCCCTCAGTTTCCCAAGAATAGGAAAGATGATGTGGCCACCCCGAGGAGCAGACAGTGCTACTACCTACCCAGCTACCTACCCAGCTAACTAGGTAGGTCCCAGGGGCAGAGAGCAGTGGACATCGCCAGTGGATGCTGATCTCCCGGTAGATCGCCAGGCACCAGAGAGTCATGTGATGACTATCCGAAGGGCCAGGACTCAAACATCCAAATCTGGGTAGAACAGTATATCGATACCAATGCCAGTCATTAGTCCTTCACTCTGAGTGCTTTGAAATCAATTGGAAATTTGGATGCGGCGGATGAAAAGAGCACTCTCTACCGCAGAACACTTTTAACGCATCATGTAGACAGTACATTCTTCAAGCTACCTCGTTTGGATTTCCTCACAAGGGCCAGTGTATTTGGTCAAGTTCAGTGTTTGCAGGTAGATTCTGTGTTCAATCGAAGCCCGATCCACCAAACTGTCTTCCAATGCGATGCATGTGTAATGGATGCTCAGGTGCTCGTAAGTGGGATCCTCATGACGAGGTGTCTACTCAAGGAGAAAAGGCGTGTTGAGCTGATAAGAAAAGCTACTGAATCGAAACTTCACCTTTAGACATAGGCTGGTTGTCCGTCGCGGGCTGCGATTTGGCCGGAATGAGCCGTGGTGTTTGGTCTTCGTCCGCTCCAACTCCGGAAGCAAGGCCGGGGTTTAACCCGGGGCGTACATACGTGCCTAGGAAAGCGTTTGCTGCATTCTCCATGAGCAACCAAAGAAGGATCCAGGGTACGTAGTGATAGCTTGCGACAATGATGTACTTACTTTGCCTTTGTTGCGGCACCATCTCTGCTTAAGGCTGGTCGATGTGAAGACCACGAATCGGGCAGAGGCGGGTGGTGGTGGTGTTTGGGGCTGGCACCTGCAAAAACGTGGGGACCAGGCCACCATGGACAATGGTGGGGCAAACATTTCATAGGCTGCCCCACCGGCTGACTCTCGCATGGACCCATTCCTTCACGCGCCTTACCCAAACCTTAACTGACTTCAGCCTCAACCACAACCAGCCAGCTCTCTAACATCCAGCCGTCATCGCCAAAGTGCATTTAACCTTCAGCCTCTCCTAACGCTTTCACACTTCGTTTACCAACAGGCCCGTACTGTGAGAGCAGCGACACATCATGGGATCCGTAGTCCTTCCCCATCTGCCCTCAGGCTGGCACGTTGACCAAGCAATCCTTTCAGGTTCGTCTCACTCTGCTGCCGCCACCCAAGCCATCCTGGCTCACTGTTCCACATACTGACTGCCACCACAGAGGAAGACCGCCTGGTCGTCATCCGTTTTGGACGTGATCATGACTCAGTAAGCAGGACAATCACTCTCACATCACTCTCACACAAAAGCTGACCCCAAGCAGGACTGCATGCGGCAAGACGAGGTGCTTTACAAGATAGCCGACCGCGTCAAGAACTTCGCCGCCATCTATCTCTGCGACATCGACAAGGTAAGTCTCCCACAGAAAGCAGATTCAGGTGTGAGATTTGGCTCTAAGTGGTCGCAGGTCCCCGATTTCAACACCATGTACGAGCTGTACGATCCCTGCACAATCATGTTCTTCTTCCGCAACAAACACATCATGTGCGATTTCGGCACCGGAAACAACAACAAATTGAACTGGGTGCTGGATGACAAGCAAGAGCTCATCGACATCCTCGAGACAGTGTTCCGGGGCGCCAAGAAGGGGAGAGGTCTGGTGGTCAGTCCGAAGGATTATAGCACGAGACACCGTTATTGAGCACTTGGGCAGTCGTCTCAGCAAACAGAAACTTCGCAAATTATTTGGAGTCTAGCAGGAACTAGGTACCTCGTCAACACCGAAAGGACTTACGAGTCGGGTCTCTGCGGTGGTATCATCATGGAATGGAAATCATGATAATGCAAAGCACGATATTGGTGACAAAGCAGATCGCCTTCAATACACATGACTCTTTGCAGTCGACCTGAATTCAGACTCCCGTATGAAACTGAATCATCGTTCAAGAAATCCAAAGCGGATAGCGGAAAGGGGGATCAGACCTTACACAGCAACGAACCGGTACCTCGTCAAAAGGAAACAACATCAGAGCTGCCGGTAATATCAGTGAATTATGCAGTTTTGAACACACAATGTATCACGATTACATCTCTCCAGACTGCACCTTAGACAGATCTCGAAGCTAACAGCATATATAGACAGTGCATGGCATCAAGGGCTCCCTTCCTTTTCTAGCCTCTCAGAATGTTGTGAATCACAGGAACCTCGGAACCTCGTTGCAATCATGGCAGATACCAAAATTGAATCAATTGGATGCATTATAAGAAACAACGAAAATGAGAATTTACATCATAAGCCCGCTAAGCAGCCAAGTACACGCCTCAATATTGAGCTTCAATTTCAAGGAGACCCAATCATTCGAAAAGCCTATCCCTTTGCTCAATGCCCTTTCACCGCCTCACCCAGATTCTTCTTGAACTCCTCAGAGAGACCGTTGATATTATCCAGGAACGCGTCATGCTTCACACTGTCCCACACGCCCTGGATCCTCTTCTGTGCCTCTGCACTCAGCGGGCCCTTTCGGATGCCGGCCACCGTGCCCCTGAGCTGCGCCAGGCTCGACGCCCCGATGATGACGGCGTCGCCCTTGGCCCCGTCGAGGATCGAGTTGTGGACCGTCCAGCGGAAGGCCAGCTCCGCCGGCGGGATGCCCTCCGACTTGGCGATCGCTCCCCACTCGTCCAGCGCGCCGAGGATCGTGGGCCGGTCGAGGTACAGGTGCTTGTAGAGCTTGCCGATGAAGCTCTCGGGGTCCCACCGCCCCTTGCCCTCCTTGAGCTGCTCGGGGGTTTTGGCTAGGAAGCCTCCCGCGATTGGGCTGTAGGCATAGAAGGCGACTAGGACGGGCGGGGTCGGTTAGCGGTGTTTTAATCACGGCATGTAATGCATAGATGGAAGCACGGAGCGGAAAGGCTTTCGCCTGTGACAAACACGTGCCCCACAGTGTTGTGTTGTGACCGTTGTGAATTACTTACTGTTGTTCTCGCGGAGAATGGGGAAGAGCTCGGTTTCAGGCAGACGCCCCACTGCGTTGTAATTGCCCTGGTACACCGTTGGGAGCACAAAGCCCCGCTCCCGACAGATCCGCAGAACCTCCTTCACCTGGTCCGCGTCGAAGTTTGAGATGCCAAATCTGCGGAAGGCCCCAGATTTATACAGGGCGTCGATACCCTCCAGTGTCCCCTCAAATGGAAGGCGAGTGTCCGGATTATGGAGATAGTAAACATCGACCTATCGGGACAAGATTTAGAATGGTGACTCTCTGGCTAAGAGTCAAGCCTCGCTTGCGCTCAAGAGGAGGGGGAGGGGGGTAGGAACGGACCTGCGAGGTGGCAAGCTTCTTCAAGCTCTCCTTCCCGGAAGCGATCACGACGTCTTTGGTAGAGGGCTCAGGGTTCATAACTCCCGGATGTTTCGTGTCGATCGTGAATTTGCTCGCCGCCGCCCTTTCACCGAGAAAGGTCTCGGACTGGCCATAAAGGGCAGCTGTATCAATGATCTTGATACCAAGCTCCCCGAGGAGGTCCAGATATGCCTGGGTCTCGTCGGCAGATTTGACGTATGGGGGACTGAAGGTCCCGCCTCCGAAAACAATAGCAGGTGTCGCCATGGTTATTTTGATTGTACAAAACGCTGCTGTTAGATCTGTTGAGTGTGCTGAATCTTAAACAAGACCAAGCTGGTTTGCTTCATGTGATATTGGCGAGGTGAGTGAGCTAAACTTTATATTCATGTGAAAGCTAACCCATGCGAGGTCCTGCACCCCAAGTTTACTTAATTCTCACGTGTGCCCATTCCTCTTACGGAGTCCTCGACGATTCGTGCATCCTTACTGCCTAATTTTTTAGAATGTTCCATCGCGTTTGCGTATAGAGACAGCTCCAGACAGCTCACGGTCTTACGAATCTGTCCGAGGATGACAAATGCCGGCATGATTGGTCCGAGACGTCGTGGCGTGCTAGTGCAAGCTCACTTGGATGAGCCTTCACATCCACAGGAAGCGCGGGAGCGGCTGGAGCGGGCGCACTTGACGCGCATCAAGCGGCCGCTCTGACACATGCTCCTGGTTATCCCCACATATCATCCCGCAGGAATTTGATTTGGAAGCACGGGAAAGTCTCCGATGACAAGGGTCTCCCATATGTTTGAAGCGTACTCGTACTCTCCTGCAGGTCGCAGTCTTGGCGGTTCACATTGGTGTACACGTATATAAATGATTCAATGTCGTCCCATCTCATTGGGGAGTGGCTCAGAAAATGGGAAAATCAATCTGTTAAAGTGGAGCCAGCTTGATCTGGGCTTGACTTCCTACCAAGGTATGATCGGCAGGGATCCCGGCGTTTTGCAAAGGTATTTGAAGTAAATAAATGGCCGAGGAAGTCCTGCGCTGTGTAGTCACTTTACGATATCTTCTAGATTGGAGAGACGCTGTGCGGGTCGCTTGCCGCGGCAGAAGACCAATCCTATCACCCTTCTAATCTAGGTGGTCTAGATGCGGTAGCCTCTTAAATGTCGTAGATGTTGCTGTCACTGCGAATAGTTAGCAAGCGAGCTTTCGAGGCAGCAGTCCCGTCGCAGGAAGGCAAGGAGCAACGAGGTGGAGAGAGCATAGGGAAAGGACACCGCCACTTACAACTTCTCTCCGAACTTCTCCCTTCCTTCAGCATCCTTATTCACGAAGATGCTCACGCTGCACTGCCCACAGACGAACTCGCCAAATCCGTCCTGCCCGATCTCAACCTCGCGGTCACTCCACCCAAGCACGTCCGTCCACTTTTCACCAGCATGCATCTCGCCGACGTGCATCCTCTTGGATCCGGCGCCGGCATTGGACAAGACGACGGCGCACCCGAACCGGCGGTCCCACGTGCCGTAGCGCACGAATCCCAGGCAGGTCGCGTAGTCGAAGTAGTCGGCCTGCTGGCCGTAGGCGTAGAGCTTGCGGGCTAGGGTGAGCTTGGGGAGGATGCCGCCGCACGAGGGCGGGAAGGACTGTTTCTCGCCCTTCGGGTCGACGCCGTACAGGTCCCCGTACCAGACGCAGGGGTACCCCGTGTCGCGGAGGAGGATGAGCGAGTAGGCGAGCGGCTTGAACCAGTCTGCGATCTGGGCCTCGAGGGCCTGGTAGGGCTGGGTGTCGTGGTTCATCACGAGTGTCTGTGTGGGGGTGGTCAGCTTGTATGTACGGCTGGAACAGGAGACACTCGATGTGAAAAATGGAAAGGAATGACTGGAGACTTACCACAGCACAGATTGGCGCAGCCTGCACAAGGGTGTCATCAAAAATCTTGCGCATGTCTGCGCCGTCGCCCTGGCTGATCTGGCTGAAGTTATAAACCAGCGGCGCGTCGAACAAGGTAAACTTCCTGCCCATGCGGTCGAGGTAGCTCTCCATGTCCTGGAGGCTGTCCTTCCAGAACTCGCCAACGACAAACCAACCCTCGCCGTAAGACTCGTCCATATTGGTGATGAATTTGCGCAGGAAGTCCTCGCTGTAGTGCTTGATGGCGTCGAAGCGGAACCCCTTGAGAGGGAGCTGAGACGCCAGCCACTTTCCCCAGTTGAGAACGTCTTCCTGGACTTCTGGGTGATCATAGTCGAGATCCGAACCCATGAGAAAATCACTGTTCCGAAATATTAGATCGGGCTGGTGATGTGAACAGGATCGGTGTTACTCACTAGTTGCCCTTCTCGGTGTCGACATCTCCATCGTCGGCCCAGCCCTTGACCTTGTCGCCCATGATCTTGTAGATGGCGTTCTTCTCGTTCTTGGCGTTGAAGTCGACGCCGCTGAAATGATACCAGTGGTACTTCATGTTGCTGTACTTGCCACGCCTCCCAGGAAACGTGTAGCCGACCCACGCCTCGATCTGGTAGGTATCGCTGATGTCCTTGTTGCGATCCTCCTGGTCAACTTCCTTCGCATCGCACTTCTCCTTGCGATCGGCTGCAAACTTGTGGTTCAGGACTGCATCCCAGTAGATACCGACGCCGTTATCCTTGGCTGTGTTTGCCATTCTGACCAGCTCCTCCTTGGAGCCCCATTTGGTGGGGATGGTGCCCTTCTGGTCAAACTCTCCCAGGTCGTACAGATCATAGATATCATAGCCATTGCCATCCTTAGAGGAGCCCTTGCACCCCGGTGGGACCCAGATGTTGTCGATACCCCATTGCTTGAGTTGAGGTATGTGCTTCTCAAGGCGAACCCAGTGCTTCTGGTCAGCAGGCACATACCACTCAAAGCCCTGCATCATGGTCATGTTCTCCGGCGTTGGCTTCTGTTCGTCTCCCATCTTGGCGGCTTGCAGTGACACTCTGACTGCCTACAATGATAGTGATAGGGAAAGAGCACCTGGGCACTTGAGCGAATTGAATGATTGATTGAGTGATTTCTGAAGCAAGCTGGGATATAAAACCTGGCTCACCGCCGACGAAACTTGTAACGAAAGGTCTTTGCCCTCCATCAGCTCTCCCGCCCGCTAGCACAGCGCTTATCGTTGGAGAGGTGACATCCGGCCATGATGGTGCCCTCCATAGCCTGGAAATTAACCAGAACAGGCTTACGTGGACAAGGTTCCTGGCGCTACAGACAGCCAGACCGTCAGAGCTTCCAGGTTTCCCGCAGGACCATCCCGGCGAACCTGAATTCAAGTCACTCAACCACACGAGCCAAGTGCCAGCGTGCAAATATGACTGGCAGGGACAATGCTGTTGGTCAAACGGTAGTGCTGGGTTCCCGTCAGCGGAAGCTTGGAAAGCTGGGATGGGGTGATGCACTGCATGAGGTGACGTCGGGTGGCATTGATAAGACTGCTTCTAGAGTGTCAGCAATTGATGAGTTCGTAGATGGCGTTTGGACGTGATTCAAGGTCGCTGGGCCTCTTAATAGGCAATATGACAACTGCAGAATTCCAACACCACAGCAAGCTGTGTTCCCTGGAGGTCGTTGCTGGCCAGATGTTTAAACTGTGCGACCTCCTCTTCTCCATCCCAGGAGAGCACAGGCCAAAGCCACAGAAGCCAGTGACGTCATGTCTGAACGCCCCGTTGGCTGCTGATGAAAAGAAGCAGATCCATCAAGACAGCGAGATGCAGTGCGGAATGGGAGGCTTCTGATCAAGCATTTCGGCCCCAATAATATGTATGGAGTGATGATCCACATGTCGAGATGGGAATCCGTATTTGAAGCGGATCCACAGTGGATTCACGAGCAACAATCCACATGCTTGAATATCTGCGAACCGTGTACAAGTAGAGCTCGCATGGTCAGGAAAATCACAAATCCTGCAGGCCCAGGGATTGACCAAAGATGGTACTATATTGCAACTATGTTCAGTGAAGATACATTCACTGGGCAGCCAGGCTGCTGGAATTGACTGACGCGGTCTGATCTGACAGCTCCATTGACTTCTTCCGCCTAAGTTCTCGAACATTGAATGGGGCCAACTTGCCAACAGCGGCTCTCAAAGTCGCAGGGCCGGATATAGCTCCTAGCATGCCTTCTTGGGTCCAGTTACATTGATTAAAGACTGGGAGACGAACCGATATCGGCACAATCTAATCTTATCTGATCCATCAGTGGGCTCATCTACGACAAATAGAATACCTAACTCCGACTCAGATATTCTTACTTGCTGAAGATGCATTGATAACTGGGGCAACAGTAACATGGTGGCTTCAACGGTTCCCAGATACCCATTGTGATCCAAGTCTCGGCCGAGGACTCCTCGGCGAGAACTCAAAGTCTCCTGAGTGAGTTGAAGACTGACGTTTTCAAAAGTACAAATAGACAGTTCGACTCCCGTCCCAAAGACCTCAAATCACTCCAAGCAACTCCTCTGTCCTTCAGCAGCCCAGATCACAACAATGAAGCTGTTCTCTGCCGCTCTTTTGGGCCTGATGGCCTTGACCACCCTGGCTCAGCCCACGGAGTCTACCTCTCCCAACCTCCAGGCCCGCGACCAGGACGATGTATGAAGTTGCCGTTCAGACTCCCATGACCTTGCAAGTGTGACATTCTAACGACACCCTCTAGTTCCGCGGGCTCAGCAAGCGCTGCTGTATCAACTGCGACAACCCCTACGCCACCTGTTGAAGGATATAAGGCTTGATCCGCTGACGGATTAAGCGTTCGCTTTTTCCACACCACCTGCAACCCCAACGACAAGCGCGAGGCCGTCGAGACCGAGGGCGAGGCCATCTTCGGCACCGAGAAGCGGTGTTGCATCAACTGCATGAACCCATGCAGCAACTGCAGCGGCAAGGGACCCGGCGGATCGACCTGCGGGACCAAGCGCCGGGACGAGGACCATGCCGAATGGCCCGCCAAGCGCTGCTGCATTCTCTGTGACAACCCTTACGCCCATTGCCGTTCCATGGACAAGCGTGAGGCTGTTGAGACTCTTGAGGATGCTCTATTTGAGTCGGCCTAGAGGGACTCATACCGGTGGTTCCATGTATATCATAGTGAAGGTTGTGAATTTTACTTACCACCGACGGTCATTGGCGTCCGATCCGATGCCGAGCTCTGACCGTGCATGGGAATTCTTCAGGCAGGTCATGCTTCATTGATTGAACGAAATTCTACTGTACATATGACGAACAACAGATATTTTCTCAAATTTTTCTCTTCCATATTAGTCTGTATATAGCCGACGATGTCACTGTTGGAATGTATCTGGAATGTATCTCATTCGCTTGCACGATCATCTGTTTAAGAAGCGTCGAAAAGCAAGCATGACCACTGAACCTACTTGGGTACCTGGAGGGCACCTGGATACCCTCAACCGTTCAAAGACAATATCATATGAGGACCAATAAAGTTCCAAAATATTTCAGGCGTTCGCTTATAGAAGCAGTGACATTTCATTTCACGATCTTTGTTTCTGTGAGCTGAATGCACTGAGGGCATAGAAATGACGTTGCAGTATGGACTGGACCCACCAATGGACGGAGCGAGGCTTCTCCCCGCCGCCGACCCGTTTCGGTGGGGAGCTACCCCCATGTCGCGTTCCCGAACAGGAAATCCCCAGCCCCCCCAAACCCAGGCGGTCTCCTGGCAACGGAAGGCGCATGTCAACACGAGGACGCGGTTGCCCAACGGTGACAGCCACCGGGCCACTGACAGCTGTCCACGCATGCAGCAACAGCCCCGGCCTGGGAGAGAGAGACTAGCCTCTCCTTGCCGGATCGATTCGCTTAACGGCCTTCGAAAAGTCTCGTCTCCATATGCCTGCCTTTGATCCCCGTTGCTCCAGCCGCTGCATTTGCATTGCCTCGCCTGATACGTACCTGTCGCGTATTTACTTATCTTGAGATTTCGTTATTAGGCTGAGACTTTCTTCTCTTTTCCCTCCCGACCCATCTAATGCCCAGAGAAACTCCAGACCCAGATTTCAAGATACACGTCGACTAAGACTGCTTGAGTCCAATAATGGAGGAAGAGAACCACACCAGCCAGCCCACCGACTCGGTGGAGAAGGCGGCCGATCAACCCGAGGCCCAAAACATTCCAGTCGGGGGAGATGCACATGCTACGGCTGCACCCGAGACCGCGGAAGCCCCTAACGTTCCAGCCGTTGACCTGGAGGATCCTACCACTACCACTGCCAACGACACGGCAGACTCAGACGGCACGAAAGAGGCACTCGACAATGACGAGGCGCAGCCAAGTGCTGAGGACCCACTTGAGGAGGACTCACACATAAGCCTGCGTGGAGAGCCAGAGTTCGACTCACATGAAGAGCCATCAATCCAAGAAGAACCCACACAAGAAGATCACTCGGAGGCGGATGTTCACGAAGACACAGAGAACGGACAAGATGGATCGTCATCATCTGCCATTGCCGACGCACAACACGATCATCCCGAAGAGCCCACCCTCGCCTCTGACCCAAACGAAAGCCACGACGCATCTGAGCTCGAAGGCACAGGCGACGATAACGAGACACGAGATGGAACAGAAATCTCGTCAAGGAGAAGTTCGGGAGCATCCGATCTGCAGAGGCGCCACTCCGTGAGGACAGAGGCATTGATCCAAGCTGCTGCCCGAGCTGTTGTCGATGAGGGAACACAAGGAGGACGAGACTGCACAAGAAGAGCAAGATAGTGCCGACGAGTCCGTCATGAGCTCCGCAAATGATACCGAAGACCGGGACACGACCATCCACGGGGATTTGGATCAGAATGGTCCAAGTCGACCCGAGTCTTCTGCTTCCCGGTCCGTTCATTCTTCAGAAGGCGATGCCGCTGAGAACAGCTCGCATAACAGCACAGAGGACGACGTGTTTAGTGATCGCAGCCCTCGCACGTCCATCCATTCCTCAGATGAGCACTACGATGGCGATTCGGTCGAGGCCATGACTGAGAAGGGCGACCAGTCCCCTTACGTGCGATCCCGTGTCGCCTCTGGCGTGTCCACTTCCGATGCCTCGGTCATATCTGAGCAGTCTCGGCTTTCACGTTACGACAAGGAGGACTTTTTTCCAACCTCACGTACCAATAGACCTGCATTCCGAAGTCCGTCTTCAGTTCGGGCCATGCAGATGTCATCCCCCACACCATCCATTTACTCATCACCTACTCGTTCTGCCAAGAGGCAGCATGGCTTGCCCACAATCTCAAGGCTCGGGAGTCCATCGGTGTCGGCTCAATACCCGCCTAAAGGGCGATCAACGCCGACACGATTCAAGCGACCAGAGCCAGCGCCGCTGGTCCTGCTTCACGTCACACTGCTCCCACTTCGCTGGGCTTATGGAGAAGTGGTGAATTATTTCGAAAGCAAGAAAATACCACCGGTCTCATTCTCCAGCGAGGGGGTCAAGAACCTGCGTGGAGCCTGGCGTCAGCTGCAGGATCGCCTTGGTGACACTGAGATGGAACGAGGCATCCTCCTCCCCCACCCTCAGAATGACTACGAAATTCTCGAGGAGCGTCTCTTAGAGGCCCTTGAGCTGCCTTTGCGACGCCGAGCCCGCATCCTGGAATGTGGTCATTATCTGGGACCTTCGAATGAGATGACGCCCAGTTCCGACCTTGAGGACGATTCGGAGGACACTAGCGATACTGAAGATTCTGAAGCCAGTGGCAAAAAGGAGAAGAGACATTGGTGCAAGACCTGCCGTGGAGACATCAAATACGAAGAGCTTGGGTCGGAAAGGGTCTTCCGCATCAAGGTTTACGCTAGCAACGGGCTTATGAGTCCTGGTGCTTGGGAAGCCTGCTGGAAGGAGATGGAGCGAGTTGACATTGAAGTGGAGCCCATCACTGGCTCACCCCTCCAACAGGAGCTGTCCAAGCTTGGTGCCCTGTTCGACCAGGAGCACCAGCAACGCCTCGATCAGCAGGCCGAAGAGCAAGAGCGTCTGCAGTTTGAAGAAGAGCAGCGCCTTCAGATGGAGGAAGAGCGACGTCAACAATTGGATGAAGAGCGCCAGCAGCTGGAAGCTCAACGCCAGCAATTCGAGGAGGAGCGACGCCGTTCTCTGGAAGAATCACAGAAGAAGCTCGAAGAAGAACGCCGACAAGCCGAGAAAGAGCAACGTGAGCGGATCGAGCAAGAGCGTCGGCAAGAGTTTGAGGAGGAGCGCCAGCTATTGGATGCTCAACGACGGGAATTCGAGGAGCAACGCCAAGAGCTTGATAGCCAACGAAAGATGATCGAACAAGAGCAACGGCAGCATCTTGAGGAGGCTCGACGCCAAGAACTTGAGGAAGAGCATCGGCTGCTTGATGAACAGCGCCAGCAACTCGAGGAAGCACGCCAACAATTCGAAGTGGAACGACGCCAGCGTCTTGAAGAGGAAGAGCTCAGACGGCTGCAAAGGGAAGAAGAGGAGCAGAAGCAGCTCTCTTCAGCACGCTCTATCTCTCGCTCGTCATTCGTGGAGGATGACCTAGCTTCACCGGCTCTCGAGACAGCTAGCTCCACTGATGTCGACGGTCGTCGGCGTGATTCTGAGCGACTCCGAGAGATCTATGGCAGTCATGGTCGAACATCGTCTGAGATCGCAGCCACCAACTCATCACCAGCGATTCACATTCATGTAGGCTCAGGCCGCCAACGGGAAGAGGAGCAGAATTCTCGGCAACTCGCCACCATTCCCGCACCCCGCGACACTGATGTGCAGTCGAGTCAAGTGCACAGTGATACTCGACAGTCAGAGGCCTTTGTTCCCCCACCACCACCGGCATCGCCGTCCGAGCAAGCCTATCACAGACGTGAGGGCCGCCGCAGGTCACTGGACTCTGCTTCTCTTGCAGAGCTAGTGGGCGAGTCGATTAGAATTCTTCTGCAAGACCCCAAGAATGTTGCAATTGCTGTCCTAGTCGTCCTGATTGCTATGCTTGCTGGTCAATTCGCGAAGCGCGATGAGCACGGCGTCGAGCTTTACAAGCCACAGCAGCCTCACCAATATCAGCACCACCAGCTTGACACCCGAGAACCTGTGGGTCAGGTTATCATGAATACGCCTGCCGTGCAGCGCATCGAGACTGTGCCGCCACAGCCAGTTGCAGAGACAGTTTACAAGACTGTGACTGAATCTCCGAGATCTTCAGAGTCCCCGCTGGTGGAGACAATCTACAAGACCATCGTTGAGTCCTCGTCTCCGGTGTCCTCATCCTCCCAGCACACAGAAACTATCTACCAGACGATAGTTGAGCCTCCAGTTCAGGAGAAGCCAACGCCAATTGTCGAGACTGTCTATACCACGGTGACACAATCTTTGGCCCAGCCCCATTCCCAATCAACAAACCAAGCACTCGAGAACGCCCGTGAGTTCACACCCAGAAGCGCCGACCCCAGTACTGTTTTGAACCCCTTGTCCATCGTTTCGGGCGGCGAATCTGGCATTTATGCCTCTTCGCCATCCCCCGCGTCTGAATTTGGATTTGTTGCTGCTTCCCCTTCTTCGACTGCCGAACGCGACATCGAGCCGGAATTTTACTCTAACGAGGATACACTCAAGGCCAACAACAGTGAGGAGGCTGTGATAGAAACCGAGGTCGACCATATCATCACGACGATGTTCCATCCGACTTGTAGCGTGAGTGACAAGATCATTGTCTCGGAGTCTCAGCTACTAGACAACCTCCATCCCGAAATTCCCATGCAACACCCTGCACCTCCCGAGTCTCAGTCAAACTCAATGTCCAATAAAGAAAGTCCTGGGGAAGTGGACCGCGAGCCACTAGCACACACACCTATTGAGCCAGGCACGGTGATAAAGGAACAGTCGCCTCATTCGTCATCTGCTCCCTCATCAAGCATCACAGATGCTGCGATCGATGAGAAAACGGTAGTTAAGATCGCCGAGACAATCACGGAGACCGTGGTTGTCACGGCCACACGGACAAACTTTCAGCCAGAATTGGGCGCCACAGGAGACTCCAGAGCGTCCGAGTCCGACGAGGCAGCGTAGGTGCACCTCGAAGCACTCGTCAAGAAGGACATGGCGAACTTCACTTTTGTGGAGGATGGCCTACACAACGCGAACGATAGATTTGGTATCTGGTAATGTTCTGCATAACCACAGGGGGTCAACGGAATCCTGTTCACTATTCAGGGCCAAGGGCTCATGGGACACGTTATTTGGAAAAAAATGACTAATACATGGCTGGGAAGCGGATTATTCGGTTTTTTATTTTTGAAGTTCTTGTCTACTTTTCTGTTGGTTTTGGTTTCCTCATGCCCCTTGAACAATGTAAATAGCATACAGGCCAGCGAGCGAGCGAGCACATTCTGGACTTGACTGAAGCATTTGAACCCAAGGACAGGACTTGAAAGCGCGCACATACACACGTTCATACCCCTATGAGTAGATAGATACATATGACTATATTCTTGTACAGAGCAGCAATCCTGGTGTCCCCGCCCACACAGACTGAGTATCAAGAGGTGTCAGAATATAATCTGAGTGGCTCCTGGCCTGGAATGAAAACGTACAATCGGTGGAATGATGTCACGGTACTATACAAGATCCCACGGCACATAGAAGTACCTATCGAGGTTGATATCATTCTACTGGTTTGTCTGCAACCTATGTGCAAAGAATTTCCCTACTCCTTCCTTCCTGTTTATATTGACCTCTTGATCCAAATTCCATTTTGCGAGGATGTCAAGTATGCAGCCAAGAGAAGCTGAGGGCTGCAGGTAGCCGTTGCAATCTTGGCTCTCTGTGTGTCGTTTGCAGGGAGAGAGTAGTTACGATGGCGTTCAGTCATTGGGAACATTGAAAGACTTTATCACAGATATTACCTTTTTGACAGCGAGGTTACTTTCTCCTGGTCACACACTGGACCAGTCTCAGAGATTCAACCACGATGCTTAGCCAGGTCAATTTGAAGTAGAATACCTGGGGCAGAGCTGGATTTCCATGTCACCTCAAGGGCTACAGTAACCATGTGGTCTACGTCGTACTCCACCTGTTCGCCGACTATCCGATCGGGACACCGAGCACCGTCAGGATCAATGCCAACTGCCCGAGAACCAATTCTTCAGTTTAGCCCTTTGAAGGGCTACTGCAGCAGGCATAGCCACTGTGCCACTTGGTGCATGCGTGTGCCGTCCGTTGCGGGCGTTGGTAAGAAGTGGGTATCGCTGACGTCGGGGGATCAACACAGGCAAGCCTGCACGGGCCAAGGTTTTCCATGCCACCAACGTCACCATGAGTTCTTTCGCATGCATTTCGCCGCTGGGGCTGGTGAAACTTGTGAAGCCCATCATGATGGGATTCTGGTGCCGTGCCGCCGGCCTATGACGCAGGCTAGGTCATGGGGGGAGGGCATCCGCAGCTTTCATACGGCGAGTCTCTGCTTTTGGCCTCCACCATTTTGAAGTGAAATATACCTGCCTACTCCCTGGATCATCATCATCAAATTGCACACATATTTTACAGATTCACAGACTCATCCAAAATACCCAATACATTATGTCTCTAGGCGGCGAAGACGTGAGGAAGACGGAAGAGCTCCCCGGCGCGTTCCCGTCTGAGGACGCCATCACTAAGTCTGAACTCAACAACAGCACCACCACCGCCGCCGCCAGCGGCACGACACCCGCCGGGACACAAGACCACACAAAACAATACCCCGAGCACGGCCTGGGCGCGCACCAGAACGTCGCCCAAGTAGGCGGCGCCAACAACAGCGGCATCCCCTCCCAGAGCCAGAACATCGCGCACACTACCGCAGCGGGCGCCGGGTCCACAGCAAGCCCGGCGGACTCGGACCCAGACCACCTCCTCCGCCGCGCCGGCGCGGAGGGAAAGCCTTCGTCTCAGGCCATACCGTCCAGCACGCAGCAAGGAACAGGAGGTGCGGTAGGCCGGGGCAGCGCGCAGCCCAGCTCGCTGTCGTCCGCGGCGAACCCGCTGAGCGGGCCTGCGGTGGGTGACGACGAGGCCGCCCTCGGGCCGGAGAACGCGCCGGATATCACTGAGGACCTCAAGGCCGTGGGCTCTGGGGCGGCCACTGCGGCCACTGCGGCTGCGATTGCTGCCAGGGATGCTGCGATTGCTGTCAAGGACGCCGCGGCGCCCGTGGTGGGCGCTGCTTCTGAACAGGTGAGGCAGACCTATGGCATATCCCTGCAGGGTAGACTGATGGCTGACTTTTTGTTTGTTTTCTCTCCAGGCCATGCAAGCCGTTGGTTATGCCGCGGAGAACGCCGGTCCCGCCGCGAGTGCTGCTTCTGAGCAGGTGAGGCGGCTCCTGCCATGTTCCTTCTGATTCCGCAGCAGCATATGACTGACATCATATGAATTCGTAGGCCAAGAACGCAGCCGTCTACACCAGAGACTCGGCCGTGCCCGCCGCAAACGCGGCAGCAAGCACAGTCCAAGCAAATGTAAGACCCAATCCACCGAAATCCGCATTAAACCAGATCAGTCAGACTGACACTCCCTCAAACAGGCCCCAGCCGCCCTTGGCGGAGGGACAACAGCGACCAACACAGCTGGCCCACGGGACGTTGTCCCGGAGGTGCCAGGTCAGGTGAAGAGCTCGCTCGCCGAGGCAGGCGAGGCTCCCGAGGCGGCTGCCAGCAGGCGCGCCGTACAAGGCAAGGGGCAGTTTGAGGGCGAGCTGCTGGGGTACGCGGCCGAGCTTGACGCTGACGAGGCGAGGCGCCAACAGCAGCTGCAGTCCGCGCAGCAGCAGCAGCAGCAACAGAAGCCGCTGAGGCCGCCGCCGGCGGGCGTGCTGCCGAGGCTGGACTCGGGCCCGCAGACGCCCAGCACGGGCGTTGCCGTCGTCATGGGGACCGACACCGAGCGGTCGTTCCCGCTTGGGTCGCACCCCGTTCATGCTGGAGACGGCGGCGAGCAGGCGGCACAGTCCGGGCCAGTTGCCACGGACGGTGTGCAGACGAGCAAGGTCCCGCAGACGAGCTCGGGCGACAATAACAGGGAGTCTGCAGCGCGGCGGCACTCACCGCCTGTGGAAGACAAGATGCCTGTGCGCAGGGGCGAGGAGGAGGCTGTCGGCAACGGGCCGGATGCCTGCAAGAAGCTGAGCTCTGGTACGCCGAGCGGTGTTGGGCAGTGAGTAGTTGGGATGAAATGACCGGGTTTGGGAGAACGGTAGAGGCGACTTATCGAGAGACTAGCCACAATGAGCCAAAAGTAATGATTTCGTCTCTCTGATTCTTCTTTTATTCCACAAACGCCGAGTACACCGGTCTTGCAAGAAATTTGTAGGACTTTGTATAACAGATCCCCCGCAGCCCACTGGCGGTGGCCCTTTTTGATTCGCCATGCATTTTCAATAGATAGTATATGTCCACCCACATATGATTCCTGTCTTTCCTTCCACCTCCGCCAACTGATCTATGCCGCCTTGCCGTTCTCCCCAGCGTCCTTCGCGTTTAGTGGCGGCAGCAGGCTACGCGCCAGGCTCCTCGACTGCTGTGACAGCACCGTGTCCATGACGACCAGGGCGGCCATGGCCTCGACGATGGGCACGGCGCGCGGCACGACGCAGGGGTCGTGGCGGCCCTTTGCGGCGAGAACGCCCTCACCCGTGCCGTCGTAGGTGGCGGTGGTCTGCTCCTGGCCGATGGTGGCCGGGGGCTTGAAGCCGACGCGGAAGTAGATGGGGGCGCCGTTCGTGATGCCGCCCTGGATGCCGCCGCTGTAGTTTGTCTTGGTGGTGAGCTTGGGGCGTGGCAGCCCCGCCCTGTCTGCGCCGGTCTCGAGGCGCTGGGCGGTCTCGGCGGGGATGAATGGGTCGTTGTGGATGGAGCCGGGCACCTCGCAGCCGCCGAAGCCGGAGCCGATCTCGAAGCCCTTGGTGGCGGGGATGGAGAGCATGGCGTGGGCCAGCAGGGCCTCCATCTTGTCGAAGCACGGCTCGCCCAGCCCCGAGGGCGCGTTGCGGATGACGCAGGTGACGGTGCCGCCGATGCTGTCGGCGCGGTCGCGGAACTCGGCGATGTGGTCCTCCATGCGTCGCGAGACGTCCTCGTCCGGGCAGCGCACGGGCAGGAACTTGTCGACGGTGGCGCGGTCGATGCCCTGCAGCAGGCGCAGGTACTCCGGGTTCGTGCTGGGGCTGGGGTGCTCGGCGGTCGGCGGGTAGAGGTGGACGCCACCGACGCTGGTGACGAAGGCGACGATCTCGACGCCATAGGCCAGGCGCAGGTACTTCTCGGCGATGGCACCAGCCGCCACGCGGCCGATTGTCTCGCGTGCGCTGCTCCTGCCGCCGCCGGAGGAGGCCTTGACGCCGTACTTCTCGAGGTATGTCCAGTCGGCGTGCGAGGGCCGCGGGTACATGTCGATGGTGGCGTTGCCGTAGTCCTTGGGCCGCTGGTCCTCGTTCATGACGCGCAGGCCGATCGGGGTGCCGAGGGTGATGCCGAACTCGGTGCCCGACTGGATCTCGACGCGGTCCTTCTCGTTGCGCGGCGTGGTGATGGCCGACTGGCCCGGGCGGCGGCGTGTCATCTGCGGCTGGATGTCGGCCTCGGTCAGGGCCATGCCCGGCGGGCAGCCGTCGACGATGCAGCCGACGGACCGGCAATGGGACTCGCCATAGCTGGAGGAGGGGGGGGGGATGCTGTCAGTCACGACTGTATGTGCATTTGTACCAGCTGTAGCCACGGCAGGGGACGTACGTGGTGACCCTGAAGTGCTCGCCAAAGGTCGACATCGTGAGAAGAAGCAGTCGTCCGTCGAAGGAGGGGAGGAGTGGCTCAATCGAGTCTGAGCCTTTTCGAGAACGAGAGCAGAACACAACAGACAAGAATTGGGTCGTGCTGGCCGGTGGAGGGAGAAGTAGGTCCAAGACAAGTTGCTGCCGTCGAAGCAGCACAGTCACTCCCGCCTTCGTCGGCGCATCGATGACTCGTCCCGTCCCTCCAGGAAAATTTCCCAGCACCAACCATGCCCAGCTCCAATGCCCCGCTACCCGCTATCGGCACTCTGGCCTGCTTGGTTCCTCAGTTCGATCAGCCCACGCCAACGCAGGGGACAAGGATCAGCCCGAGCGACCAGTCGCCTCAGGACCCATGCCCCATCCACCCGGGACCTGCAGCCGCGGCTTTTGGAGCTTCCTCCCAGTGGACAGGGGCCTGCTCCAATTTGCAAGTGCAACAGCTCGGTTCTTGACTTTGTCGAGGGCCGATCAACGACTCACGATACTTTGCATTCCCCTACACCCATGCACTGTTTCATTTGCACCAACACGGGCTTGGAAGTCTGAGTTGAATCATCGTTTTCGATGATTCGTTACGTTCTCTCTCTCAAATTGGCCCGCCGTCCTCATCATGCAAGTAGCTGAACTCTCCTGAGATGGATGATAATACACATTACAACACTGCCCAATGCCAGATCCACACACATTTGCACCTGGACCGTGACTCATCTCAGGCTTGAAGGAGCATTTATGTCCTCATGTCGACACATCCTTTGGCCGGAAGACGAGCCCTTTCTACACCGGCTTCGGCCCCTCGCGTGGCTCAAGAACCCTCGACAGGCCCGCCACAGCGCTCATTTCGTAAGGCCCAATAGCCTTGTCAATATCGTCGCGGCGGCGGTCAAGACCCCCAAACGTCACGAGGATACCAACAAATACCTCCCCAGTAGGCGGCTTGAGGCTGTCCCATCTCTGCGCGTCTGTCTCGCCCCAGGAGCAACTCCGACCCTGGTTGGTGTGGAACTTTTGAGATGCACGTCAGCCACCAGTGGTGTTCCGCCCGCGAAGGACATCGCATTTAAAAAGACAGGATATTGAACATACCCTGAGGGCCCTTGGATAGGCTTGCAGAGGGGATTCCAACTGTGTCACCACCTCGCCTCCTGGTCCGTCAATGTCAAACGGCTCGAGCAGGTCTGGGAGCTTCACACCTGGCCCAGCCCCTGTTTTTTCAACACCGACCACCCGCCGCGTCAGGCCTGTCGCCGAATCGTACTCGGCACTGATGCCGCAAAGGCATCGCGCATCTGCTTTGCCGCCAGACACCATACGACCGGTGAGCCGTCTCAGGGCTTGGTGCTCGCCAAGATCCTTCGCCCAGATCAGTGCTCCTTGCGGTATCAGGTGTTCATGCAAGTAACCCCTAGACATACGCTCGACTCTAGTGCCCATGAGCCGGAGCGTGGGGTTGGGCCCCGGCTGATGGGCCCGAATGCTTCGGTCTAGTATGTGCGAGTAGTCTTCGTCCAACAAGAGCCGTCCGAGGTCACTTGGGACGGGAAGCGCAACCTGGTGTGGTGGCTCCGAGTAGTCGGCGAAATCGGGGGGCTGCGCCTGCACGAGGCCCAGCTGCGTCAGCTGCAGGTTGCCCATGACAAAGCCCATGGTGCCGTTGATGCCTGTGATATACCACTCTGGGGCAGCTGAGAGGAAGCGTTGCATGTGGCATTGCGATGTATCACCCATGCCTGACGTCCTTCCGGAGTCAAGGACGATCTACCTCGCGTTGTCAGCAACAGGCCCTCTAGTTGGAGAGACCGGTACTTACCGTAAGGCCCTTCGGAGACGTCATCAACTGGTCGTTATTGATGTGAATGGGGACAGGAATATGAATGGTCAAGTCCGTGACCCACTCCCAGCACCCAAACTCATGGATTCTCTCACCATCCCATCATCCGAGCCAGCCATCCTGAGAAGCCGTCTCTCCTAACCATCAGGCGCTAACGCGATGCCAACCAATGAGCCCTCACGGTTCCAGAAGGTTTCCAACATTTTGGACTCGGACTGGACCTCAGACCACGACTTGGCCCAGTACACCTTGCGGGTAGGATTGAGCCTGGTCGCCTCTGGTGACGAGACGGTCACCGAGGGTATAGACTCGGAGTACCTCCGAGTCAGCTTCTCTTCATCGCTCATCGAAGTGTCGTCCTTTTCTTCCTTCTCCGGCCAGTATCTCCGGCCAAGCTGCTCGCACACCGACCAGATGCGGCGGCGGTTGGCAACCCCATCAGAGGTCCTGCGAGCCATTTCTTAGGACGCGTCATACTTTCCGCCCACTGAAAGACGCGATGGGCATTGTTGGTCTCCAACAGCGCCTGGTCTTGCTCAAGCAGTTCCCGAAGCTCAAAGAACCAAGGGAAGAAGGATGTCTTGAGCCGGTGACACCAGAACTGATGGTTGTTTCGCAGAAGCGCGTGGACCGGCCATGATGCCCTTGCCAGGTTGACCAGCTCGTCGTCCGAAATGAAGTTGGAGATCCTGTGGATGACATCGTACGGCGTCCTGGCAAAAGGGTCATAGCGGACGCGTCTCCCGAGGTCAGTGCACGAGGACCTTGGCTTGAAAGCATCTGTGTCGAACATAGACAAGACAAGCTCGCTCGCGCGGGGTACATTCAGGGGGTGGCTCACGACGAACTCGTAACCAGCCAGTGTCTCCCAGTTCTGACCCTGCATGTGAGCCGCATCACCATAGTCAACAACCCGCAAGGAGGTGCCGGCATCGAGCGACAGCCCCTGCATGACACTGTACAGTAGGTCCTTGTCTAGGCTGTCATCGTCAAAGGACCCGGTGAGGCACTTGGTCAGGATCTCGTAGCAGCACCAGTGGAACGGGAAAATGGCTTCGCAGTTGCTGTCAAGATTGTGGTAGCAAGATGGCGTGTCGAGGTCGACACCCTCGGCGTTCGGGTCGTCGCCACTCTCGACCGAGACGCCCCAGCAGTCATCGTAAGTGCCCGGCCCGCTCACAAAAGCTCTGCGGGCAGAGAAAACGGTCAGTGGGGACAACGCCAATAACTTCGCTTCCACGGCGCCGGGATTCCGGGCCCACCGCGGAGGACTAACACGGTTGGTTCCTCTGAGTCGTGGTTGCATGCGAGAACATGGAGTGTCTCGGCCCATTCTACCTCTTCCACGCTGATGACGTCCTGGTCGTAGGTGTGCTCCTCATCATGGCGTTCGTGAGAGTCGCGCTCGTCGTCCTCGTCCTCGGGCCCGTGATGTCCTTCACGTGCACCTTCTTTCCCTATCCGCTGGTTTTCCCCCTCTTTCGTCCTTTTCCTCAGGAAGGCGGCTGTTCGGGGCTATTCAGAGACCTTGATGCCGCAGAAAGGCCCGCCACACATGGCACAATAGCAGTCCAGGGAACCCATGGCGGAAAAGGGAGCTCATGGCAGAGGTAAAGTTTTCGGTGCGGCAGCGAGCCGAGTTTGAGGAGAAGAACCTGTCATCTTTATAATTGACGACCACGATCCTCCTTCGCTTGACTACCCACACTCGGCCATATGCACCATTGCTGCCTGCTGGGCCATGCAGGGGAAGAGGAAGGTGGTGAGAGGAGGGTTGGGGTCGTCGTTGGCAGGAATTCCCTTCTCGTCACCCGACTGTTCAAATCTCACCCGGAGTGCTCAACTCCAGGCATGCCCCTCTCGTCAAAGTCCATGAACGGGATGCCAAAGTCAAAATCCATGACCTCGCTGTCGAGCAGGTTGACAGGGGCCCAGCAATGGCGCCACTGCATGGCGATCATGGGGTCAGCCGCGAACCCATCGTCAGGGGCGGCGGCAGCAGCAGGGCCGTTGCCGCCGCCGCCGCCGCCGCTTTGGGTGGGCTCCAGCACCGGGGCTTCGCCGCCCCCGTTCATGGCCATGAGCGTGGCGGCGAGGCGCTCGGAGCTCCTCTCGTGGCGGGCGGCGGCCGACTTCTCCATGGCCTTCTGCAGCAGCTTGGCCGACTTGCCCGCCACGACGCACTCGTCCGCCATGGTCTCGAGGACCTCGATGGCCATGTGCACCAGCCTCAGGAGCGGCTGGATCTCGGCCTCGGACGCCTCCTGGTTGATGTAAACGAGGATGATGGACGTCGCGAAGATGGTGTATGTCGTGTTGTAGAACCTATTTGCGCCGCGGGATGTCAGTTCCGAGAGCACTTCATTCTCATAGCAGTGTTTGGTGGGACGACTGACCATGTGCGGAAGAACTCCTGGTGGTGGTAGGTCTCGTGAATGGTCTCGATGGTCCTTTTCGCCGAGTCCAGGCATTTCTGGACACACTCGTATGAACCTGGCACCGAGGACCTTTCGGCAGGCGTGGAGGTCAGAAGTATAGACCCGAATAGTAGTATCCGGAGATTAAGGTACCCTGAGCGTGTGAGGGGGGGCATCTGGTCAGTCTTCTTCTGCGAAGGGCTCGCATAACGGCCCAAGAAGTCCCACTTACGCATGTTCAACACAAGTTTCTGCCTCTTCATCCACATGGCCTCCTTGTGGCTGCCGATCTTGGACGACTGGTCCGACCCCAGCCTCGGGCGGATCGGCTCCGGCAGGTGGGACAGCCAGCTGTCGAAGCGCTGGTCGAGGTGCTGCGCCAGCTCGACCGTCCTGGCGGCCGAGTTCTGCGGGAGGTAGATGTCTATACACACCTGCCGGATCAATCTGGAGAAGTGTACCATGTGCTCGATGATGGCGCAGTGCGGCGGGTCCAGGAGCGGAGAGCCCGGGTCGAGGCCCGGGGTGAACTCGGTCAGGGGGAAGCCGCGGTTGTGGTACTCTTCGGAGCCGAGCCCGCTTGGGCGCCCCATGGCGAATGACAGCTCTTCCTCCAGGGAATAAATGCCCCACCAGGTCCTGGCCTCTGCCCTGAGCTGAGCTGGGCTTCTCTTGCAGCTTGGGCCTGGCTCGCGATTTATGCCCACTGCCAACGCGGTGCGCACAGCCATGCCGATGTAGAAGTAGGACCAGTGGGCATTGAGTTCGTTCTGGCAGACCTTCGCCATAAAGAAGAACGTCTGCACCATCTCCAAATCGGTGGCGAGCTCGAGCTCCTTGAACCGCGCCCTCGCCTCGTTGAAGAAGCGCCTGCTCCACTTCTGGTTGCTGACGCCGCCGACGGGCTCGATGTCGCGGTAGCCGACCAGTGCCCCGATGGAGAGGATGCTGAAGTACAGCGGCACGAAGCTCGCGTGCTGCATCATGGCCTCCTTGTCGCCGGACCAGAGCACCTCGCACCTCTCGAGGAAGGAGGTCTTGTCGATCATGGGGTGGATGTAGTGCATGGTGGAGAAGAAGTTGTGCAGGAAGACGCTGCACTGCCGGTAGTAGGCCGGCTCCATGGCCGTGAGCTGCGCCCCCGCCACGGTCAGGACCGTCGTGCCCCCGCCCCCGCTGCCACCGACGCCGCCGCCGCCACCGACACCACCGCCCTTGTCCGGCGCGTCCAGCTGCGGCGGCGAGAAGGCCGGGTTGTGCAGGTTGGACAGCAGGGCGGCGGCCATGGCGTCCGACTCGGAGTGCTCCGCCGCGCCGCCGCCGGCCTCGGACGACGCCGGCGACCGCTCGCCGCCACGCTGGACCTGGGAGAGCAGGGCGACCGACGACGAGCTGCCGTAGAACTCGACGTTCCTGGTGTGGCTGTTGATGGCCGTCACCTCCTGGCCGCCCCTCTGGCGGGCCCGCGTCGCGGTGGTCGTGGTGGTCGTGGTAGGCGGCGTGGCAGACAGCCCCGTGCTCGTTCCGGGCGAGCCGGATGGCGGGGCGCCGTGGTTAGTATACTGGTTATGGGCGGAGAAGCCCGACTTGACAGAGGACGAGCTGGCCGCTGCCTGCGCCTCTAGCTGGGCTGAGAGCTGCTCCACCTGCTGCTCTAGGCCCCTGACATATCTGAGATGGGGGAACTGTCAGTATTGATGGGCGTCCAGCACGGCTCGTGAGTGAGCAGAGAGGACGTACTCGGGAGTGTATCGCCTCCTGGATGAGTCCTGGCCTTGGTAGACACATTCCACATTGCGATCTGGGACCATATGTCAGCCGCCCGTGTTCCCGCAGTCACATGCAAGGCTGTAAGGCTTACTTCTGCAGTACGTGCAAGGGTACAGCTCGTCGCACTTGTTCTTCTTCAGCCTGCAGAGATTGCACGCCCTGGCCGCCCTGGGGCGGCGGACCTTGTGGCCCGAGTTCTGAGCGTGACCCGTCGAGCCGGTGGACTCCATATCTGTGCCTCACTCAACGCCGTGGCCATAGGGGGTCTCCGGGTGGGAGAGGGAAAAGCAAAAAGTGGTCCAATAGGGCGCTGCTGTGAGACATTGAGCGGCGGACGTCTTATGACGGCCCTAGTTGTTGTTCCCGGCCTGAGGCTCAAAAGGGGATGGAACGTGGTCGGAGCCCACCAATGCCGCTTCCCCGCAGAAACCGGGGGGCTGCACCCCAGCACCATGGGCCCCAGTACGAAGTACCTTGTGGAGAAGGTGTCCAGGGGGTGTGCTCCTTTTAGCGGCCAATGCCACCCTAGACTCAATATTGTTATGCGTGGAAGCAAGTCGCTTGGTTTCTTCGTGCGTTGTAATTGTAAAATTGGACATTGTTGGAGCATTATACGCCAGGTAAGCTGGAGCTGTGTGGGAGCCACCCTCTTTTACCCCTAGGTTTGTCGTACATATGGATGAATAAAGAATGGTATATATACAATCTATCTACTGCAAAGCATGCCTTATTTGACGTATACTTGTTTCAATGTATATGAGAAATGCGTGCAGAAATTCACATATAGGACAAAATACTAAACTTCTCTCTACCACTTGTCACTGGGAAATGTCTTTCGTCTGGAATGCGGAGTTCCAGCCGTTGAGCACACAACACACAAGCATTAACACAACAGAGACAGCCATGACGGACAGATCAGATAATTCCGGGGTCGAAGCCATGGTGTCTACTACGGGGAGGACGCTTTGTCATCCTAAACCCGAACGCGTGTTCTCGCCTGCGTTCAGAATGTGGGGCCGTCCACTGTCAATGATCCCAGATGCACCAAGCGGACCCTTGAAGTAGCTTTCGGATTTGCCGGACTACCCTGACCACCGCCCCAGGAGGGGCCGCGTGCTCGGCCCCATCCGGGCCAGAGAATCATAAAGGTTGGGCAGTCTCAGGCGGGATGCTATACTATCACTCAAGATGCCTCACCAGGAACGACGTAGCATCCAATTTCTTCTTAGCAATCTTGCATATCCAGGGCGGCCAGTACCTAATTGACCCCAGACAAAATGAGCATCCCAATCCAGGCAACGCCGCCCGACTCGAATGCCGCATACATCATCGACCAGCTCGAGGGCGAGCGCATCAGCATCCCCGGGAGTAAGGGTGTCTTCAGGATCCTCGCTTCCTCGAAACAGACCAGCGGAGGAATCGCCGTCTTCACAAGCGGTGCCGTGCTGTCAGACGCCCCAGGGTTCCACTGGCACGCCGAGGCCCACGACGTCTTCCTGGTGACGAAAGGTTTCCTCAAGCTGTGGAACGGGGACAAGTGCAGGGTCATGGGACCGGGAGACTTCGCCTACATCCCCCCGAAGGTCATACACAACCCGGAGCTCATCGGCCCGCACACCGAGACCCTGGGCCTCGTCGCCCCGGGCGACTGGGTCGACTTCTTCAGGTACGTGGGCGAGACGTACGAGGGCGTCGTCGTGCCCGAGTCGGACGACCGCGACCTCAAGAGCCTGCTCATCCCCAAGGTCATGGCCGCCAGGGACCGCTTCGACGTCAACTTCGTGCGGGACTACGACCCGCCCGCGGTCGGCGAGTGGCAGGACGACGAGAACGTGCTCCCAGACCCACTGAAGCCATACTTCCTGCGCGCAAACACTGGGCCGAGGCAGATTCTAGGCGGTGTCCTGTCTCGGCCCTTCATCTATGCTTCGCAGTGCAGCGGCAAATTTGCCATCTCTAGCATCGAGTCTTCGAACCAGTATGGCTCATCTGCGTTTGCACGGCAGTGGCTGACGTTTAAGAACGTGCACCACTGTTTTACCGTGCAGGAGGGAATTCTAAAGGTGAAGCTCAAGGAAGAGAATTCCGACAAGTGGAACGAGGTCAGGGAAGGACAGACGCTCTTGGTACCGGCTGGGAAGGCCTTCGTGCTTGATTTTGGGAGCCGGTTTGTCAGGGCAATCACATTCACCAATGGTCCTGGGCTCGAGGAAGTAGTCAGGCTGGCGGGCTCTGATTGCCCGACTGTGGTATTGCCAGAAAAGCCGGCAGACTATGACATTAGCAAACTACAAGACGCTTTGGAGCAAGTTGGCGTAGTTGTAGAAGATCTCTAGACATCGACCGTCAATGCTATTTGATCACATCATTGCGTTGCGGGCAAAGAACAGATGGTATTGACTTATCCTTGGTAGGGCTCTTGGATCTGGCATTTAGGAATTGTTCGGACCTATGAGCCGTCTTCATAGGCCTATGGCTGGCCTGGAAATATACTCTAATCAAGGCAAATATCTGATATAACATCTCCCGGCCTTTGATATATACAGTCGTTAATTGCTCTGTGTACTGTAGCAACATTGTTTCCAGCCACAATGTATTCTAATTATAAGTCCATGGCGCACAGAAAACCCTAATAAAGTGTGCAGGTTTATCACCCTCTATTCGCCAAAGTAAGAGCGCCTGGAAATTTCAGGGCCATCTCAAAGGAATGGCTCCTGCTTGACGGCATCCTCCACTTCCTTGAACGCGTCGTAACCATACAACCATGGCTGGACTTCTGGGCATGTCCACCTGCTTGGGAACGGTCCTTTCAGCTCTTTACCCAGAGTAGACAGAAACAAAGAATCACGAGCCTCCTGCTCAGGGCCATCTAGCATGTGGAAGTCATGTCGCTTGAAAAACTGTCAGTGGCATTCCGGAAAATCGATGATTGTTTTTGTCCCTTCATAGCAGCGACTCACCTGTTTGAAGGTCTCCCTGACAATGGAATCTCCTCTTGCCTTTCTCAGCTTCTCATACAATCGGAGAGCTTGGGGGATTTGGTCCTTGGTGTTGATATGCCCTAGAAGCTGGCCCAAGACGGCTCCATCCTCCACTGCAGAATTTGCGCCCTGAGCAAGATACGGAAGCATTGGGTGGCACGAGTCGCCACTGAGAGTGTACGTCAGTCTAAGCTCCCACTTACGAGCGACTCCGTCTCAAATACTTACACAAAAACCAGATTTGACTTGTCATTGACCCAAGATGGCAACTCTTCCCCTGGATCGCAACATGTCAGTGACTTGCCATGCTGAGAAATCTCGAACGACAACGGAACAGAGACATACTGTGCATTAACCTCCACTTCTCCACGCCGTCGACTTTCTCCAGGAATCGTCTCAAGACAGGGTCCCACTCGGCGAAATACGCCTTCATCTCCTCCAGGTTGCCCGGCTTGCGGCTCACGCCCTCGGGCAGGTCGTCAGGCGAGAGCAACACGAGGTTGTACATCTTGCCCGCCCGCATCGAGTAGCCCACCACGTGCGTGCCGGGGCCGATCCAGAAGTGCACCGTCGGGTTGCTCACCCACGCGCTCAGCTCCGGGTCGTCGGCCACCTGCGCCAGGTCGAGCACGACGCGGTACGCCAGGTCGCCCGTCGGCAGCGGGGGCACCTGCTTGCCCAGGAAGCACGTCTGGCACTTTGACCACAGGCCGTCCGCCGCGACGATGATGTCGGCCTTCGCCTTCTTGCCGGACTCGGTCGCGACCTCGCCCTGCTCCAAGTCGATCGAGTCGACCTTCTCGCCGAGGTGGAACCCGATCCCCAGCTCCTTGGCCTTGTCGTACAGGGAGAGCTGCAGGTCGACGCGGTGCATGTCCAGGAAGGGCGCCTGGTACTTCTTCCGGATGTTCTTGTGGAAGTTGTCCTCGTGCGCGAGGACCTTGCCCGTGTACCGATGCACTGTGAGTGCGGTGGGCTCCGCGGCTTCTCTCCACAGCCGGTCTGATAGGCCCCATCGCTGGAGTATGCGAGTAGAGTTGGGAGTTACTTGCAACCCGGCGCCGATCTGATTACCTCCGTGAGCTCACGATGGCCATGCTTCGAGAATGGGGAGCAGTGACGTGAGCTTTGATTGTACCAACCTCGAGGAGCTCCTTTGCTGATTCAAACACCGTTACATTGTGACCGGACTGTGCTGATGATATCGCACTCGCGAGACCACTGATACCTGCGCCCACTACGATAATGTCCAACTTGATCGGTGACTTCTGCTGAGTTGTGTTGCCGCTGACAGGTTCCGCTGCTGCGAGGCCGTTGGATACTGCCATCATGTTCCAAGAATCCCCGTGTTTTGCTCGGGAAAGATCGGTTGATGTTGTTTTCGAAATTATGGAGTTTCAGCTCTGAAGTATTCACGTCGGATGTCCCTTTTCAATACCAATCAAGTCGTTAATTTGGTGTGTACCCCGGCTATCCCAGATCGGTACCGCCGCGCAGAAATGCCGAGCACACGCGGCTAAGGTCAGCGTCAGCGCCGGGTATTCCGGTTCCGAGGGTTGGCTTTGACCGGCTTTCCCGGCCATTTAGATTCCGCGGAAGGGATATTGTCGGCTTTCAGTTTTGGTTTCCTGCGATGATGAACAATCGACATCTCTGATCTCTTTCGATGAAATGCCAATTCCAACAACATATAAGAAAAGGATGAAGTTTCGCGCTCAGACAAAGTGCCATCGAATACGGGAGAAGCATACGCTTGCAGCCTGGACGCTTTGCAGCGTAGCATGTGGAGGCGACTATATGATGGACGTTATGCATGCTTGCTAAAGTATACCTAGAATGGACCGTTCAGTGGTGTCGCTCCGTACGGACCTAGGTACGCAGGTTTCTGAAGCTCTGGGAACGAAAACATCATGCTACGAAGAAACTGAATTACGAGAAATCGGACGGTCAATGATCATGGCGATGAAGAGACTTGATTTGGCTTGTACAGTCACTTCACTTTGTTTTCTGGATTGTGATGGTTGTCATGTTTTTCATGTCACGTCACTGTTAACGTGATACGTTTAATTCTTAAGTCTATGCCCAAGCGCCCACGAGACTCATGAGAAACGCACCCATGAAAACATTCAGGCAAGCGTAGACACGACGTCGACCACGAAGAACCTCCCAACTATTATCACTGAGAAAGTCCTCGGATAACAGCTCGACGAGAGATTGGAACGTGAGCAGCCCCGCTGAGATTGCATTCATAGAACCGACAAGCAGAAGTCCGACCTCAGAGTCCTGGTTGTAAAACGAGTGGGTTGCAAGACCGATAGCTTGACCGAATGGTGTCCTATAACGAACGAGTTGTTAGCATATTATCATGGGACCGAAACGAGGCAAAGCGTCGTTGGGAGACGTGCGTGCAACCATATGCCAATGCCATCAGCCATGGCTTCCATGCCTTTTCGGGCCAGTCAATATCAGCAATTCGAGATCCAAGGGCCAACCCTTCGAACGTTTCTGTTCATTAGTGCAGTGCATTGTTAGCAAGAGCAATCTTGCCTTGGGTTATTTATAATACTAATGATCAGTAGCGATGTACGTACGGTGGAACGCGATAGCAATAAGCAGTACGACAAACTCATTGTTGATGGAAACACTCAAGGCCATGCCAATGAAGACGCTATGGAACAGAATCCCAGCTTCCAGCATGACGCAGTGCATAATGTCCCTTTGTCGCTTTTCGTCTCGCAGCTTTTGCTCCTCGGTGATCTGCCGCTCTTCGTCCTGGCGGTCGATTTGTGACAAGCTTCGACCGATGCTTGTTGACCTGCCAGCCAAAGGGCCCATGATCCTAGGAGGGATTGTAGCCTCGGTCGGGGGCAGAGGATCACCACGAACACCACCACGGTTAGCTGCCGGCTGCTGACGACGAGAAGGGTGGAATATCATCTCGACGAGCATCAGCATGAAGATAGCCGCTAAGGCCATGGCACCAGGCATTGCGGTATACTTGTCTGTCCAGAAATCAGGGAGGCACGGGTTCCCGAGGAGGGTAAAGGCGGTGGGCAGCAGATGCACAAAGGCGGTCGCAATGAGCACCCCGGTGCCGAAATGGCGAATCGCGAAGAAAAATGGTGCAGGGATACGCAGGCCTGGAAAGCTGACGGCTAATATGGGGAACGCGCATGCCATGGTCGAGACGAAAAGGATGATGAATAAGGCTCCAACATGCAAAGGCGTGTTGTAGACACTCTCGTCAACGCCATTGTTGGCAGGGCAGGTTGAACGCCTGTGAATCGTGCTCGTGGATTCCTGATTCGATACCTCTCTGGCTGTTATGGTGAGAGCAAGTTGTCAGTGGGATGTTTCGCGTGGTTAATGAAATAGATCACTGGTAAGCATACTGCTCTTTTGTACATCTTGGAAGAAGTCCCTCGTGCTCGAGAGAGCAACGGAGCAGACTAGGACGGATAAGAGCCAACTAATCCAGTTCCATATTACCGACTGAGTTGAAGATGAGGCGCCCCAGAAGGAAGTCATGTGACGAATGTGGCCTCCTCTACCATCAGTGTCGGGTACTTTTAGGTTCGAGGTGAGTGCTAGTAAGAGATAACATTACTCAGTCTCAGCAATAAAGCTAATTCTTTTTCTGGGATAACTCACACATTGCCCTGTGCCCCGGGAGCGATGTCCCATTATATTCCTGAAACAGCTTGCCACAGATCTTGGTGTCATGCCCTTCTGCTTCTCTGGAGTCGACAGCGCTATTAAGATTCTGGCGAGGTATCATATTGCCTTCCATGCATGTCAGGTCCCGGTTCGGTGTCGGGTCCTCTAAAACAGCTTTGCCGATCTTCGATGGGAGATTCGTCGTGGTGCGAATTGGTGTTGCTCCGACGAACCTGATCGAGAGCTGTCATAGACTGCACCGAGACAGATATACGAATTTTGATGTAGATTGCGGGGTGTAAGTGCTTGGCATTCTCGGTTATGTAACTTCTAGCTGGTATTTGTTCGGAAGCCCACGGGATTCACCTCTTGGCGTCTTGGTTCGTGTACCTTGTTGGCTCGGACGATTTTGGAAGAATCCCGGCGGTCCACACCGTCTTTCTGTCTGTAGGGCAGTGCAACGAATAGCCTTAGGTAATTATTTGGCCCCAAACTTCGTTTCCACAGTCTTTTTCGTCCAGGCTACTGGAAAAAACGGCTCAAATCTGAAGCTCGTGACATGTGCTTACTCACCAGTATTTTCGATTTCTTGGACCTTTATTTCAGGCTAAGCGAAAATCAGCCGCGGCAAAATTGTGAACGTCCAGTTCCTGGTCAATGCATATGTTGTTCGGGAATCTACCAGCGCAATAGCTTGCTAAATATCTATGTTGGAGCTCGCGATCTCAGCTTTTGCCTTATTTTCTTTGAGTCCTTGGCTATGTCGGGGAGAGGCCACGGATGCTCCTTCAGCACAATCAAAGATGATGCGACGCCCTTCCCAATACCCGAGTCAATTTGGTTCAACTGGTACTACTACGTCTTCCACTCGTGTCAACGCTGTAGTGTCAATTCGTTCTCCTTACGTGTCCTTATCAGCACATATACAGCATCTCTGCCGCCAAAATACACGTATACTCCCAAAGACACGATAGTCACATCGAAACAAGTGTTGTATCGGCAATCCAGTCAACGATGATGATGACCGGGCTTCAGTTCAACAGACCTGAGACTGTGTCTCGTTACTTTACTATTAGTTTTGCTGACACTGCGCTCATGGCGGTTTCAAAATTGAAGCGGAACACCTTAACCTCGAGGGGGCTCTTTCGGCCTCTGCCCTTTGCACATTGCACAACAGTCATAGCAGTCGACACCCCCATGGTAAATACTGCTAATTGAAGCACCATGTGGGTCCAGTGGTCAACCTATCAGGCATCTGATGAGGGCCAATAAAGTAGCTGAACGTACCAGAACAATACAGCTAGCGCCGTCGCAATGGACCACTCGCACTTGGGCGGTTCGCCAAAGTTCCTGGCTCGCCATGTCCTCGATGAGTCGCCACTTGCGATTCAGACGCAACATGATCTGGATGCTTGAAGCTCCCGTTCTCATGTTTCATCTTCTGATGCATTTTGAGCCTTGTCCAGCTACTCTGGCTATCACTCCCTCATCAGAAAGCCGTAATCATGCAAACAAAGCAGGCTGGACAAAAATTATCTTGTCTCCGGGCTAATTGGTCTCTATATTTGTGTGAGCACGGTAAATTCCCCGAAAAAATGTGCGGCCAAGGCTCGAGGCACCCCTTCAGTTGGCACGGACTGCCATAAGTTTTTTAAGTGAAGCTTGTTTTTTTTTCCTGATGCTATCTTAGTGATTTAAATTGGTCATTACACTTAGTCGTCTTGGTATTTCTGATTTGTTTCCATCTGGGTGCAAACGGGCATGGGTGCTATCGTGTTTCTTTTCTTCTTTTTTTCCTCCTTTGATTAACCACCGCCCCCCCCCCCCCTTGGTCGCCGTCTTTGGTGGGAGACAAAAATTCTAAGGTCAGAGGTGGGCTGTACAACAATGTTAGTAGATAAATTCCTCTTCGTCTGAACAGGTTCCGCCGCCTCCTGGTCTAACTCCCATTGATAGAGCAAAAGCACAGCTGTGACCAAGAGCAACGATGCTTTAAGTCTCACGGACACCCGTTTACCACAGATGGTACTGAATAGTTTCATATCGGCGCCGATTACGCGCTTATAGGTCGATTAGTGACATCTGGAGAGAGAGAATATTTCTCAGACTGCCCATGTCTCATGGCTGCCGGGGGTCCGAATCGCATTCGCCGTTTGTTTTCGCCAGGGAGGGACATCCCTATACGTCACCCGCATATTTTCACCAATTGCCTCTGTATATCCTACTCGGCCGGCCTCTGTTCTGGGACCTTGAGATTGCCCTAGACGGAAGTCCAGCATGTGCCTGCTTCATCCGGATCAAGAGCTAGAGGCACATGTTGCCAGCATCAAGCCCCAACGTAGCGCCACGTTAGTCGAAGGTCGTCTTGCAATTTGTCAAGCAAAGTCAACGAATAATTGGAACTTGGCAGCCTTGTTACGCCGATCACGAGCCACAGGACATAAGCGAGACAGGCCAAAATCAGTGAGTTACAAGTGTGGATCTGCGGAGCGCTTCTTTCCAGAGTAGGGACGGACTTGAAAATGTTTTCTGGCACTGGGATAGCTGAGAAACAGTAAGTACGCATGTTGGATACACGCCATACTATTGAAAGAACCAATGTGATGCGGACGAAGGCTGCTTTTAGTTTGCATCTCCGAGGTGCCCCCCACGCGCTTGGGGTGGATGACGGCGTAGCCGAGAAACTGCCGACGTCGCTCGGGAACATCAGCAAATCCATCAGATAATGATAAGATCAAAATTTTCCCCTGGGCACACATAATACCACCACGCTACCGAACGCTAAGGCGCCACACAGACCGGGCGATTATCGAGATAAGATTTTTCAACGGGTCTGGGCCGAGCTTCAGCGTGTGTGAAGCGGGCCTGTTCCTCGTTGCAGACTGGCAAATGTCGCTTAACGCTGCGCTTGTCGGGATCTAGATCCTGCAGGAGTTGTCCCCGTCTCACACTCGGACCGACAGACTGGTCTAGTCAAGCCAGAACACGCAACTGCGATGCGTTTTAGAGCCTCGTGCGTAGGTGGTGCCAGTGGCGCTGGGTTTCTGTTACACGACATGGGGCCATTTCGTCCCGCGGGTCGACGACCTGCTATATAATAAGAGCGCAGTCCCGCTTCCTGGCAGTGCCGAGACTGCACCAAGTTGTTCCAAGCTGCAGGACATATCTTCGCCATGGGTTTCTCCTTCCGCGGTCTTACCTCCAATGCCTTGGTGTCCACCGGCGCCAACAATGAGGTCGATACAAAGGATGTTGCCGATGTCCCTGCCTCGGTCCAGGGCCACACGAGCCTCGATGTCGCTCGCCCTGACGAGAAGCTCGGCACGCCACGGCTGACTACACTGTCCGACAACTCGGATGAGGAATTGAACCAGGTCGACAAGACTGCTGAGCATGGCGTGCAGGCAGTCCAGGCTGCGACTCAGGTCTGGACCAAGAGGGACAAGATCATAGCCTTCGTCTCGTAAGTTTCGACAGGCAGAAGTACAGCGAGAGGAGAGGGAAAGCGATGTATGTGTAGGGAGTCACTAACCGCGGACGGATGCAGGATGTGGTTTATCACCTTCTTCATGTCCTTTTGCTCGAGCTCCATCTCCACCTTGACAGTCTACGTCACCAGCGACTTCCAGAAGCACTCGCTCACGGCCCTGACTGGCGTCATCTCTTCGCTCGTTGCCGGCATTTGGAAACTGCCATATGCCAAGATTATGAATATCTGGGGCCGTCCAAAGGCATTGTCTATCGGTGTCACTTCCTACACCATAGGTCTGATCATGATGGCCTCGTGCAAGAACGTGCAGACGTACTGCGCCGCCATGACCTTCTACTACATGGGTTACAACATGATCGACTTCTCCATCACCGTTTTCATCGCGGACTCGACCAAGCTCAAGAACCGAGGTCTGTTCATCGCCTATGCGGCTTCCCCGTGGCTGATCACCACCTGGATCTACGGCTACGCGGTTGACAGCGTCATTCACGTCAACGGCATTGGCTTCAGGTGGTTTTTCGGCATCGTCGCCATCCTCGCCCCATTTGTCTGCTCCCCATTGCTGGTCATCTTCTACCTGAACGAGGCCAAGGCGCGGAAGCAAGGCCTCATCCCGCCCAACCCCAGCCGAGGGACGGCTGGTCAGACCCTGTTCTACTACCTCCGAGAATTCGATGTCGTCGGCCTTCTCATTCTGGCGGTCGGCCTGTCCCTCTTCCTACTCAGCTTCAACATTTACTCTTACCAGACCGAGCAATGGAAGTCGCCGCTCATCATCTGCTTCATCATCTTTGGAGGCCTTCTCATCGTTGCCTTCGGCCTGTGGGAGAAGTACGGTGCCCCCGTTACCTTCATCCCCTGGCATTTGCTCAAGAACCGCACCGTCATCTTCACCTACACCATGGCCGCATCGCTGTACGTTGGCTGGTATGTCTGGGACTCGTACTTTTACTCGCTTCTCGTTGTCATGTTCAACCAGTCAACTCCCCATGCCACGTATATTTCAAACATTTATACTATGGGCAGCTGCTTCATCTGCCTGGTGTACGGAGTGGCGCTTCGCCACTACGGCAAGCTGAAGATGTACTCGCTGTTCTGGGGCGTGCCACTCACAATGCTTGGTGTTGGTCTGATGATCAAGTTCCGCCAGCCGGACGTCAATATTGGCTACATCGTCATGTGCCAGATCTTCATCGCCTTCGGTGGCGGTGTTCTCGTCATTTCGGAGCAGACGACACTCATGGCTGTATCCAAACAGCAAGACTTCCCCGCCCTCTTGGCCGCCGAGGCCATGATCATCGCTATTGGCAGTGCCATCGGCTCAACCATCGCTGGCGCCATCTGGACTGGTGTCTTCCCTGCTCGCCTAGCTGCCAACCTCCCAGCTCATGCCGTCGGCAATCTTACTTCCATCTACGGCGATATCCTCGTCCAGCAGAGCTACGCCTGGGGCACCCCGGAGCGTGACGCCATTAACCTCAGCTACGGTCAGACCCAACGTTATATGCTCATCGCTGCTACATGTATCTACTCGATCACTATTTTCAGCGTCGCCCTCTGGGAGAACGTCGATGTTAAGAAGATCAAGCAGCGCACTTTCGGCCTCATCTGAGGGATAGAATGCGCATGACATATTTCCGCGGCGGAATCGGCCCCAAGGATACTCGTCCTATTTTGGGGTCCCGCTGTTTTGCCCGGAGCAATTTTCTCACATTGACAATTGAGAGTATTGGGAGGGCAGTTAATTTAGGAGCCCTCCTTGGACAATGAAGTAATATCTTATTTTCTATTATGAATATTCGTCTTACATGCTGTCTAAGTGATGCCATTTCACACTGTTGGTTTCTGTCCACGTCTGTCAACGAGCAGCTGCGTACAGTAGCCCACCACGGCAATATTCCACCTAGAGCCACACGAACCCGGTCCACTCCCTAATTACGTCAAGTGCGCATTACACCTGTGCAGTGAGTGGACCCAGCGTCTCCCATCCATTGCTATTTGACTCGTCTATGTTCTATCTCTAAATCTTGGCTAAGTTGTTGTAACGGTAACCGACGCCCCACTTCCAGCTTCCACATGTGATACTACGCCTTTAGCGAGGTAACTGTAAGATCGTCGTTCTTAGACAGTGAGCCTTGTTCGCGGGTCTCCGCCTGCTCTTCGACGGAGGTGGGCTGAGTATCTGCATACTCGTCAGAACCCTGTCTCTTCGGCGCCAACCGCAAGGCGAGGCTTGTTGGAACAATGCAAGCTACCCACAGCGCGAAGCTGAGGATGCCTTGGTTGAGGTTAGGCCAGTGGGTAGCGCCTACGACATAGGCAAATGTCGACCCGACAGCCTCAAGACCACGGATGATACCCATGACCCTCGGCATGTTGCCGGGGGTGTAGTCATAGCATCCCACAATGTAGAACTGGAAGTTATACATGGCCCCGAAGACGAATTTCCACAGTATGTATACCGCCAGGTTAACATCGAAGCGCGCCTTGGGCTCGTCAGCCCAATCCAGAGCCACGTCCTCCTGTCCGACAAAAGAGGCCTCGAGGACCATCTGCCAGACGTAAAGGCCGGTCAAGGCTATTGAGAAGCCGGTCCACATGGTTATCGCGCGCTGTCGCTGCGTCTTCCCGAACAGTTGGAGATCAGCGATGAAGGCGAGAGCCACATCGGCAAACAGGGCTGCCACCGCCGACAGCAGCGAAGCCAAGGCACGAATGCGAACAGAGAAGTGGGTAGCCAAGTAGTTGTACTGATACGTCTGGCCCCAAAGCCCCACGATGTACATGGGCGCCAAGAGCAAGATATGCCTCAACTTGAAGGCCTTCACAAGGCGAAGCAGCTCATCCTTGACACCGGCAGAGGCATCCCTGCCGAGCGAGGGCCTACTCCCATCCGGCCGCCTAACCTTGGCCTCACTAGACAGGAGTAGGGCGGCAGGCAGGCCGACACATTGCAAGCCGATAAGGGCGAGGTATGTGTTGTAGCTGACGGCGCCCGCGTTGGCGTCCTTGACGTTGAGCGAGAGGGAGATGGCGCCGCCGATCAGGGGCCCGAAGTCACGGAACGCCGTCCAGGTGCCGATCATGCGGCCGCGCTGGTGGACTGCCGGGTAGCCGACCACGACGAGGCCCTCGGCGCACCACAGCACTGGCGCCCCGATGCCGCAGAGGGTGGCTCCGACGAGCATGTACCACTGGTTGCCGTAACGTGAGTTGACGTAGAGCGAGGACGCGTATGGGGTGTAGCTGCGGCAGGAATTATCCATGTCAACATGGTTTCGTGAAAATGAGTGGGAGAGAGTATGGGGTGTGTGCGAATTAGACAAACAGCAACGACTTACAAGATGACGCCGATTACCAAAGACCACTGGGCACCAATGCAATTGACGAGGGATCCGGAAAGGGGAGGCAGCACGCTCATTAGGCCGTACGTAAGGGCATTGGCCGGATTCACGACATAGGGCTTCGCCTGGCCGCCAGCTCCGAGGTTATTGAGTGCGATCCAGATGCCTGGCTGGGAGAAAGAGACGATGCCCAGAAGCACGATCTGGAACGTCACGCTGCGAAAGCCGCTTTTAACGCTGTCAAATAGCGCCATGATTGCAAGCTGGAGGCGAAGAGGTGTGAAGGGGTGAGAATCGCTCCAGGAAACGTGAGAGAAGGCGAGGCATATTTAATTATTTGACCATTGTTTTTAGTCGACCTGAGGCCCTGGTCATATCCGCAACTGACAGGCTCGATTCCAGCCCTTTACTAGTAGTGCTAACAGTCTGATATTTTACCCTTGGCGCGCATCTTGTGATCCAGGGCGGGTACTACTTTAATACATGGCATCAAAAAGACGTTTGCACCGCCCAGGCTGATCGGGATGCTAAGACAATCTGCAGACAGGGTAAAAAACAACTTCCAGCACGACAACAATTTCATTACTGGACACACAAGATTACTCTAGATGCTAAACTAAGTAAATATCTTCCAATTCGGGTGCAGTGCCTGTGGATACCCGCTTCAGAGAGCCACGTTTCTCTTCAACCCACGTTATTCCATATCTGGTGAGTTGAAAAGCCTCGGACAACTCGTTGATTCTGTCTTCACGAAATGACCGTTTCGTCCTCAAGTAGCCAAGTCGGACCCATTTGTTTGGGGTTGTCAAATCGCCATCTCTGAATGGTCTGAGAAGGATGCCTTCAACGGACGGGCTCGGTGAGGACATAACGGCGGTTAGAATCAAAGCTCTAAGCCCGTTTCCTGAAGACGCTTTGCCAGCTAGGTCAATCTCCGCCTGACTGTCCCATAGAACCAAACATCTCGACTCGGGATGTGACGATGGCCAAATGTCATATCTAAACTGTTCGTTATCCTGCGTAGGACTGAGAGTCATCTCAATTGGCACACCACGCAAATGCAATATGCATTGCTCGATCGATTTGGCACGTCCGAAACTGTCTAGTCCTGAAGTATTCAAGGTCCATCCGATTGGTAACTGAGATGACTCATGATGGTCAGGATAATTGATTTCACTTTTGCAGCTGACTGGTGACCACGACGGAATAAAGAGACCTGCCGTATAGCGATTTAGTGCCACGTTCGATAAATATGTATGCCAGCTGAGTTGGAAAACGATGTTGGTACACCAGAATCCGGAATTATAACAGTCGTGTCCAACAAATTCAGGGAACGCCGATTGGAAAACTTTGGAAAGTCCTGCAATTGCAGTGAGACGATCATCTTCGAAAGTGACAGATGTCTTGGTGTAAAGCCGAAGTAACTCTGCATCAGAGTCTGAAAGAATTCCCACAAGCCTAGGATTCTTCACGTATGGTTTATAGCAGTCTTGCATTACCGGTGTAAAGAACTCTTTCTCCTCTGGGAAAAGTGTATCGTCAGAATTCTTGCTACCTGCAGCAGCAATGTTAAAAACACCGCCAGCATAGATATCTCCAATTTTGACAGCCTCCTGTTCCCATTCCCGCTTTGTGCCATCATCGTCGTTGTCTTGATTGATGCACAGCGAGTCAATACAGAGATATTCGAGCTTGCAATGATGAATTATTTGCAGAGCTTCTTGGAAAATACGAGGTAGGTCTGAAGTGGAGACGCCTTTGATCATCGTGTTGTAAGAGATCTTTCGATGACCGTCGCTGTTGCACGATAGTTTCGGAGGCTCAGGTGTGCCCCACCTGTGGCTGAGTGTTGCATATTGATAAATCTGGTCCATTTGAACTTCAACAAGCTGGACTTTCTCAGTCTGATGGATGGGAAAGTACAGTAGTCTGCTCGGACGAGAAAACCTTCGGACGTGTTGCTTTCTGTGTCTGTCGCACTGAGGATGTGTGTTTCGTGTGCAAGATTGGAACCATTGCAAGGCAGTATGAATATACTCTTTATTGGAAACTGGACCCCGAACTTCATGCTCGTAAGGCTGAACTGCGAACTACAATTCTAGTAGAGAAATTAATACAAAAGAGTAAATCATATCGGAAATTCTTCGTTGTTTTAAACTGGTTGAAACAAAAACGAGGTCTTTGTAGTACTTACCACAGATTAAAGACTTTCCCGAAAAGATGAGTACAAGTAATTCCGAGTTGCGGAAGGATCGACAAGTTTCTGAATGCCATTTGTTGGGCTCAGCAACCTGCTTAGCAGCTTCGAAGTCCCATCTATCTTTCAAGATTGCACAGAGCCGACACCCTGCTTCCCATGATTGACACAAACTTGTACATGAATCATGATGCAGGCAAAAGTCAGCAGCAGCTGCTCGGTCGCAGAAGCGAAGAGAGCAAGGCCTGCAAAGGTGTGTCTCACGAATTAATCGTTCAATATCTTCTGACGTCTGAATATTTCTGGCGTTGTAGGAAAACATGTTGTATAAGGCTGCAATGATAATTTAGGATTGGTATAGATTAGATCAAATCTTAAGTGAAAACTATTGCAAGTACTGGTTCCTCTGTGGCTCATCAGAGGGTCACGACGATGTGCCGAAGAGATGTTGTGTTTTTATACCTGTATGGTGATGAAACACGGACTGCGTTAGGCGTGGAAATGGGACGTCCTGCCTCCAATAGTTACTGTAGGCAGACACTGACAGTGTGGCTGGCTGCAAAATGTGTGACACTGTTTGTCGAGATGCGTGTGAAGGAGCAACAACCTCAATGATTGATTGGATGACGCTAAGAGACACATGTCGACGGTTTTGCGAATGAAAACACGCCAAGTTGCCGATGATGTTACACCGGCCAGTCTAAAATGTCAGAATGCATGGAATGCATGGCTTCTGTTGACCGGTCAACTCACCTGGGCATTCTATTCGACAGATCACCTCATTGATTTGGAACATGTCTGAATGATCTTGGAAATGGAAATTCGCAAGATCACGGCGAGCTTACATTGCTATTAAGGGCTCAGTCTTCTAGGCTACGATTGAGCTTAAGGGCACGCCTAAGCGGGATACTTTGCACAGTGGTGTACCAAGACTCCTACCTTCATGGTGAGGGTCGTCACCATAAGTACGATATTGCCAAGTTATTAGCGCAGTACTGCATGCTCAGTAGCCTCCACGTCCTTGGCGCTGCTGAGTTATCCACTAACCGCGAATGGCTTGAGACTCCAAGTTGGGGAGTCAGCGTACGCCCACCCAGCTTCCACAGTACGCCCACCCAGCTTCCAGCGTTGGCCCACCTAGTACAAGGAAATTGGCTGCATATGCTATAAAATATTGATACTGCGGGGTTATTTAATAAAGCATAGCTATAGCTATCCCAAAGGGGTTTCATAGCTACCCTAAAGGGGTCCCATAGCTACCCCTTTATTTACAACTTAAAAGTTACTTTTGCCCTCTACGCCCTCTGCGCCCTCTGCGCCCTCTAAGCGCTCTACGGCCCTCTAGGCGCTCTGCGGCCCTCTAGGCGCTCTGGGGGCTCTGGGGGCTCTGGGGGCTCTGGGGGCTCTGGGGGCTCGGGGGCTCGGGGGCTCGGGGGCCCTCTGGGCGCTCTGGGCTTTTTAGGCTTGTATTTTTAAAGTATTGCTTAAATTGGAAAATAGCTACCCTGGCTTGTTGGGAACCCCGCAGTACTTGCATTTTAGAGCGGATGCAGCTAATTTTCTTTGTACTGGGTGGGCCAACGCTGGAAGCTGGGTGGGCGTACGCTGACTCCAAGTTGGGCCATCCTGATTGATCTTGCGGGTAGTGACGCAGCTCTGGCGGGTAGCGCGGCTATTGCGGATAAACTTTATTCACAAAGGTTGATACAAAAGGAGTCGCCTGATGCCCCGCAGTTCAACTGTAAATACATGGCTCAGTCTCCGGAGAAGGACCTTGATTAGCATTAATCGAGATTATTCTGTAATTTTCGTACTTACGAATTGCTCCCTTTCTATCCCCCTTCGACTTGCTCTCTAAACATGGCATGCCCGACACGACGTTACCCCCTACGCAAACCCCTCAATCACCGGCTCCCAATCCCAAGATGGCTCCTCACTTTACCGGACGGGGTTGAAGCTGTACACACTGCCTACGTCGGAATCCAGCAGCATGGGCATGGCAACACCATTGATGTTGAGAGGGCTCGCACTCAAGCTGTCGAGAAGATTCAGTCATGGCTGACATGTGAAACCAGCCCCTCAGCATCTGAATTTTGTCGCGTCATTGACGGGAATGATACACAAGACGCTGTCATCTGGGTTTGTTACTGGACCGACGCCGAACTCTTCCACAAGGCCCTAGAAGGATTGTCTCTTGCCGCGTTGCACAGGAGTCTTGAAATTCCCGGCCGCAATCACATTGGCTTATGGCTGGAGGCATTCACAACAGCCGCTCAGCGACTAGAGACCAACTATTCCGGCCTGGATTATCTCCCAGGTCTAGCAAAATTGCCCCAAACAAGCACATCCGAACATTCATTGTCAGCATATTGGGGAGCAGCAAGGGACCGAATCCCGGACTCGGCGCACGATCTTTTCGATCCAGATCCCACCTCCTCCCCTACTACTCCTGAAATCACGCCGACAGGGCTCGGCCAGCGACTGAGCGGCTCGAATCCAAGAAATGTTGTTCACATCCGTTCGGGCCAATTTTGGGAGAACTGCGACGTGGAGGAAAGCGATTCGTACGAGCAGAAGCTCGAGCCTACGCTCCGGGCAGGCCTGGAGTATCTGCGGACACATCCCCGGGAGTCCGGAGCCTTAGGCCTGCGATACCTCAGAAACGATGACGATGAGCTTATCTACCGGCCTGGCCTCGCGCACCGCAAGGAAACGTGCGGGGCGGGGTTCTTCACCAGCTTGGAACACCTTGAAACGTGGGCAAAGAGTCATCGATCGCACCTTGCGATTTACAAAGGCGCGATGTCACACTTCAAGACGTTTGGAGGCAACAGGAAGTTTAGGACATGGCATGAGGTTTCTGTTCTACGGGAGGGGGACGCGCGATTTGAATATGTTAATTGTGTACCACAAACTGGAGTGGTGGCGAATTTGCGTCTGAGGGTCGAGGATTTAAACGTTTAAGCCACGTCTACTAGTTAAAACATTCCCAGTAATTCCAAGGCCATTTTCATTTCTTAAATTTAAACTGGCTATGGCGCTTGCAGGCAGAGTGACCGCTCATGGTGCAGTGTATATGGAAAATCAGGAGGGAAGGTATGTCTTTTTCCAAAAATCTGGTGAAATGCCACCGGCCTTTCTTTTCTGGATCTGCAACAGGCGCCATGCTTACTCGCCCCGGCAAGGTCGTGCTAATCTGCCCTGATGTCTTATGCAGTACCAACAGCAGGGGTAGAACGATGTTGATATCCGCCCTCGGCAGAGGTAGCTGAATGACTGTTGCAGTTATCTTGAAGGCACCCGAAGAGCAGCAAAATAGTATGCTCATCAACGCCGTTTGGGACATGGGAGATTCTGCTTTGTCACTGGAACACAAAGCCCGGCTACGACTGATCCTCTCACTCCTCGGCTTCGGCGGCCTTGATCTGAGATCTGTGCTTCAAGAGGCAGTGCAAACGATTCTGGGCCGACCTGATATCCCTCCGGATATCCCTGAAGAGGAAGTCAAGTCGCGTTGTGGGCATGCGCTGGACATTGTGACAACAGAGTACAACGCGTTATCCTCAGATTTCGGGGGTTTAGATGGAGGACACCTCTATGAATTCCTTAGGTCAAGTATCGAGGCTCTCCGGGTCGGTGACGCATTCAAGTGGACCCGCTGGGGCGGTCCCAAAGTCTATCGAGTAGAGTAAAACACCACTGAAGCTAGCCACTGGACTAGTCCAAGCTTGTAAACGGGAAACACGTGTGATGTTCTGTGCAGCACGCAGTGATGGAGGCACTGACTCGACTGCACCGGAACACAGCAGTCGCAAGGACACGAGACGAGAGTCGTGATCCAGGGGCCGAGAGAATAAGAGCAGCCCACCCACGGCCTGCCGCAACGGCCGCAACGGAAACGAGGGCCGTGACTCGTTTGACGCATGTATTGAGCAGCTTCATATCGTGGCGAAATTCGGTAAAAGTACGGGTGGTGGTTGTATTTAAGATGATCAGGCGCCCGAGCCAACTGAGGGTCCTGACACACGACGTTCTTGCCGGGGAGATAGGCATAAGCCGGGTTGGTCGCGGGGGCTTGGTCGCGGGAGATTGGTGGGCGCTGGAATCTAAATGGGAAGTTGAGGACTTGCTGCCATTTATATGCCGTTAGTAGGCCGCCAGCTGTGTCACTGGCATTCTTTTTGCTCCGGGGTTTAGGACCAGGATACTTTCATCTTGCGGGTAAGTGGTGCTTGTTTCCCTCGATCAAGTGCCCGGCCCTCGCCCCTGTTGATGTAGTTGGTGGCGCCGTCGGCGGAATCGATATCTTGGTGCCGGATCATGACACCATTGTTTGTGACTCGAGCGTAGCCGAGCCTCCCCAGCGGTCTACCTGTTCTGTATTGTACTGCTGTTTATGCGAGACGTACTTCGTTGTGTTGTGCCCGGAGCATGGCCCTAGCCGGCGCAGTTCCTCGCCTACATCATTCCTGTAACCGGATTAGACCCCTGTCACAAGCCTTTGGCGCTTTCATGAGTCCTAGCTACCACCTGTCACACTAAAGGTGGTTCTCATGCCATCTACCTCCTCCAACAACCGCGTCGCTGGGCCTGGTTTGCGATTTGGCCTCCAGCCCGATAGATGTAATGCCTCGCCTCTGTCTTCGCAGTCGGGGGCGTATTGAATTTGCTCATAACGCGCGATCTTCCTTGGCCTAAAGATGCACTTGCCAGAAAAGACTTTCAAAAGCGGCCAAAGCGTAGGGATGGTTCCGAAGATGATAATTGCATCCATCTGAAAATTTGTCAGCTACCAATTGAAACATCCAGATGGCCTTGTAATGGAACGTGTGAGAATCTGCGTACCTCTGCACTGTGATAATTTTTGAGGATCAGTGTCTGTCACTATTATCAAGGAATGGACGATATTGGACGTTAGTGATTCGCTTACATGCTCCAAAGTATGAAGGGTGACCACGCAATGTTGAAATCAGCGTTGTCAGAGAGCATTCCTTTGAAATAAGAAATTTTCATAAAGGTTGCAGCAGCAGCACTATGAAAATGTACGCAGTCAGTATATCTTTTCGTGAATAAGGAGATATGGGAGAATTGGAACGTTCTCACAACCAGCCGCCTCCCATCAGCAAACACAAGCCAAACTTAGTGAGAAAACTGATCTTTAGATGTCGTATCGGGAACGCGGGATATGTTGCTATAATGATATCCATTAAAGCATGGTAAGTGGCAATTGCATAGCCAGCGGTAACTCTGAAAAGGGGGCTACTTGTCAGCCGGTGAACCGAGTCTCTCGGAACTGGCGAGGAGCCACGGTATGAAACAGCGCGGGCTAATTCATACCGGAGTTTTGGGTCCATACACCATCCCTCGACGGATGGATCCCACTGCCTGGCGGCAGGATGACAGAACCCAACAGTTACAAAAAAACAAAAGATATTCAAAGCGACCATAACTCCACATACAACCCATACTGTACCAACTTGCCATCTCGGAGCAGCTATTCCCATCAGCCGTACGAGGAAGACTACCGCTGAAAGCTTTCCAAATGATGTGGAGACCGCGCTCAAAGATACTGCGATTACTGTATATTTGATGACTTTAGACACATCACTTGGGTTATCAATGGTGTACCCTGGACGTCCGAGGCCGTAGCATGTGCCCACTGTCACGAGTGAAGTGCACGCCACAGCAAACACCTGGGTACAGTCAGCTGCTTAGCAAAGGACGAAAAACAGCGAGTCTTGAGTGCTTACTGTTGCCAAAACGTTGAAGAGGTCATCCCAATGAGGCTGATTGAGTATCTTGAAGCGGGACCACAGTCGAGCAGCGCTCATGCAAACGATGGTGACGCCTAAGATCCAGGACACAGCCCAAATCGAGGTCACGTAACTTTCTGCTTCTGCCATAGTAACTGAGGGAAAATAAGAAATCGACTCTTAGCGGGATACAATGTCGACTGTGAAAGACAAATTCAGAGTCTTCATCCCAATTTCAGCTCAATTGCCGCTGGGGCCGAACAAGTCACTTTCAGACCCAGGCGTGACGTATATTGCTTCGACTGAGCAGTCAGGCACCTTTATTATGAGGCTTTGCCGATTGACTGATCGCATCTTTGCCGAAAGCGCGGCCAGGCTAGGCACGTAGATACCTGGAACGGTAGGTTGTGTAGCACACAGGCTTACGCAGGAGCTAGTTGCAGCCAACAGTCCTGCCAGTAGAAGTCAAGAGTGCTGTGGATCTTGCTCACCGGTGTCATAAGCCCCCACGCACCAGATCTCGGGCGCACGGGTGTTGTCCTATCACAGTGCTAGCTGTCGCCAATTGCGCCCTGTCGCCGAGACCTGCGTGCCATGGCAGTCAGCCTACGCCAGCACGCCTCCTTCGTACTGCCCGAGACAAGCCACACAGAACCGCAAACCCGGCTGGAAATAAGCACCTCTGAGGCGTAGCACTCATTGCAGATGCAATGCACTTTTACTTTTGTGAGACCCATACCTCTATGTTGTAACAGGGAAAGCGGTGTTTATCTCAGAGAATTCTTCATATAGTAACCTAATTATACATGTACATCTATCATTTTCATACAGTAAGAATCAGGCCTCCTATGCCTTACGCGCCGCTACCACTATTACTCAATACTCATCTGCAGGTAATCTCATCACTAAGATCACCATAGGTGCCTCTCACAGAATATTATGAGTAGCCCTAAGCACATGCATTCGGTGAATATTTAGACTCCTTGGTACATTCAGGCCGTTTCACTATGAGCATTTCACTGTAGCGAGCCATTTCGCTGTGGCAAACGCATTTCGCCGTGGTAAGCTATTTAAATATAAACCTTGAGTATATTAGATTTAAAACGTCATACCTCTCTTTACCTTGTACTATCTAGCAGCAGCTACTATTAGTTACACTATTTCAATATACCTAAATAATAGATGGGATAGAAAAGAAGGGGTGCATAGGTACTTCAGGCCCGTTAAAGTGGCTGTTTCTGGGTGCCTTTTTCTTTAGTGACCTAGCTATTGGCCAACGCACCTAAAACTCTGTCACAGCCCTTAGTATTGTATTCGAAATGGCCGAGATCGTTGGACTTGCAGGGCTTCCACACATTCCATTTGAGTAATTAGAGACCCGTTTTGACCAGCTTCTCCACCGTATCATGCATTTCTGCTGGATTTCGTGCACTGAGGACTCGATACGTGCGGTATTAAAAGGACGCTTACTCAGCCCAGGCCAATCAGGATGCTGAGCGGCTTCTAGCTTATCTCAAAGCTTTACAGACCGGTCGGCACCAGCACCGCGAGAACCAAATTTGCTCGAGAAATCAAGCATCACAAGTGCTTTGCGACGATCGAGCTGCAGTGATTCAGGCTCAGCATATCACGATAGCTTGCTCTGGCCCGCTTGTACCCGCGAGGAAGCGCGCTTGCGGGTTTTCTTGGCTTGAACCATGCTGTTAGGTCTGTGGAGTTTAACAGCAGCTAGCCCACTTGTCATTCGTCACTATGCCATGACGAGTCCGATGCCGCATGGTCACAAAGCACAATGACTTCATGGAAATGTATAAAAAGGCTTCCCCTCCTTTCGTCCACAGTTTGAGGCTTTTTCTCCTTCCACGAACTCCATACCATAACTTTTTTCACCCCTCGCTTTTGATCAAAAACTTACTGAGAGTACGGTGTTCCTCCTCAGGAAGCATGGAATCTCTCGCCATGGAATCATCCAGATCAAGGTAACTAGGTGAAAAGTACACATCCGGGTGTTTGGCTCTACCTGCTGCGATACCTGCTGTATTTCTCATGCCCATGGATTCGACACAAGGTCGGACGCATGGTCAAGAGAAATCAGCATGTGATTCAAAGCGGAAGAGTCGATCTGAGAAATACCGGTTGAACTTGAACTGGATAATACCAGCGAAAGGACATGTGGACCTTTAATCCTCCCCTCCCCTTCCCATGGCATAGACCAGACTGACCATCCCAGCTTTCCGTCCTACTCGGAACACTTGCAAGATGTCGACTGACAAGATTACGTTCCTCACCAACTGGTAGGGCATTTCTGAATGGCCACCTTAGCAGCTTTTGATAACATGATCCCGTCTCAGGCACGCTACGCCTTACCATGCGCCGTTGTATCTCGCTCAGGCAAAGGGCTTCTTCAAGGAAGAGGGCATCAAGGTTGCCCTGCTTGAGCCCAACGACCCAAGCGTTAGTCCATACGCTGCACAAGATGATCTCGTGCTGCATGCTCACCACAGTCTCTCTCCAGGACGTCACCGAGATCATCGGATCCGGCAAAGTAGACCTTGGTTACAAGGCTATGATTCACACGCTTGCTGTATGTTGGTCTTTTCTGCTACAATAGACACGGAGCCACAAGAAGGTTAACAGAAATGCGTAGGCCAAAGCCCGTGGCTTCCCCGTCACGTCCATTGGCAGTCTTCTCGACGAGCCTTTCACGGGTGTCGTCTACCTCAAGTCGTCCGGCATCACCACCGACTTCCAGACTCTCAAGGGCAAGCGCATCGGTTATGTCGGCGAGTTCGGCAAGATCCAGGTCGACGAGCTGACCTCCCACTACGGGATGACCCCCTCGGACTACACCGCGGTGCGCTGCGGCATGAACGTGTCCAAGGCCATCATCAAGGGCGAGATCGACGCCGGCATCGGCCTGGAGAACGTGCAGATGGTCGAGCTGGAGGAGTGGCTCGCCTCCCAGGGCCGCCCCAAGGGCGACGTGCAGATGCTGCGCATCGACCAGCTCGCCGAGCTGGGCTGCTGCTGCTTCTGCTCCATCCTGTACATCGGCAACGACAGGTTCGTCGCCGAGAACCCGGCCAAGGTCCGCGCGTTCCTGCGCGCCGTCAAGCGCGCCACCGACTTCGTCCTCGAGCAGCCCGAGAAGGCCTGGCTCGAGTACGTCGACTTCAAGCCCGTCATGGGCACGGAGCTCAACCGCAAGATCTTCGAGCGGAGCTTCGCGTACTTCTCCAAGGACCTCAAGAATGTCCAGCGCGACTGGCAGAAGGTCACCAACTACGGGAAGCGCCTCGGCGTCCTGAGCGCCGACTTTGAGCCCAACTACACCAACGAGTACCTTGAGTGGACTCTGGCTGGGGAGTCGCAGGATCCTACGGGTGACCAGAAGCGCATGGCGGAGCTGCAGAGCAACGTTGCGGACAAGGGCGGCTTCCGCCGCCTGCAGGTTGAGGAAATCCAGGTCTGAGCTGAAAGATACTGCGGCCATGCACTCATTGCATTGGCTATTTGGCAAGGGCTCTAAGGGCTCTTGCATATGGGCAGACACTCATTCGAACAAGCCACATGTGCCATTCCCTCTTTACTAGACTAGCACAATGAAGCCCATCTTGAATTGCTCAACGTAAAAATATGAGAGGCAGTATCACTCTGGAATTCGCTCGCACCGACGAGTTCTGGTCCCAAGTATGACTATTACCACGAGCAACTCTGATCTTTGGCTTACCTGTGAAGAGTGATGCAATGTTTCAGAATGCCGCTGTTTTACAGCATTTCGACATTGTCAAATGCTCATTTGCGCGCCGGAGGGACTTCCCATCACCGGAACAGCCGGGACGTACTAAACTCAAGGACATGCGATATATTTATAGTGTTGAAATTGGATTTTCTAATTATGGAGATGCTCAAAAATTGCTCAGACGATTGACAGTGATGTCTGTGTCATGGTCAGATTGAATACATGAGCTCAACACAAGGCACCTCTGAGGCATATCTATTTTCAAAATCCAATGTCACCCGTCTTTTAGTTGGAGAAAAGTCCCCATACTCAATCAGCACACTTCCAAGACGGAAAGAGCGGCATGATTGTCGTGTTCAGTGGTCCAACAGGCTGGGCGGTTGAGTTGTCATTCAGCTGAGGACCACAATAAAGAGGTTGCAAGGTTCTCCCCATGGAACCCCGGTCGGTTTGTTCTATCGTATTTCTGCACTCGGATCGGACCCACTCAGGTCCACCTCTCGCAGGTAAGCATGCTCCGATAATCCGGAGGATGTGTTGATCAACAACGTTGCTCCACTGATGTTCTCGTGCATAGATTAACGGTATTACACAACGTCATCCCAAGAGAGGGGAAGATGGGCCAACATTTGCTCGATACAGTACTGCAAAATGCAGGTCCTGTCTTTTGTGCCTGATTGTTCCAGGAACAATCGGCCTTGACCGGTCCGGCCATCGGACACGAGTCGACCCATTGAGGCGGCCATGACACATCAGCGGGTGGATCTTGCAACTCGCAAGTCGCGACTGAAGAAGCCGAGGTATTTTGACTGGGGCGAATAGTATGGCAGCACGCCACGGCATTGCGTGAGCTGTAGGAGACGCAGGTCGTCCGGGCCAAAACTGTTAATTAGCCCCAAAACAATTGGTGTGTCTGATGTCAGACCATAACGTACCTGAACTAGAGGCACCTCCCTAATTGATCTAGGTAGTTTTCGGCACATGCAAAGACTTATATAGTCAGGCCTACTTTGTTATAGCAGCCAAAGCAGATGATATGTGACAATTGTCCATTATGTTTGCAACAACCTTGAACTAGAATAACTTTCAGTTCAACGAATTGGCTTATTGCTGTAGATATATTTTAGATCAATGGTAAACAGAATTCGTGGTCACTAAAATGAGATCATCACGTTTGCAGGAAAATTAAGTTGTTTTGTGACGCTTTTTTGATTTCAAGACTGAGTTTAGGTATGTGGTTCCAACTTCAAAACCCTCATAAATAGACCTTCATGTCAAACTGTTCTTCCAAGTTTGTCCAATCCTCCTCAGAAAGTGATCTCATAGTAACGCCACCGCGGTACCCGTCGTAGAAGTGTTCTATCAAAGGCTTTAACCGAGCTTGGAGGGGGTGTAGCTCTTGTCGGGGGTGACAACGTTGCCGGAAGCGACCTCCTTGTCGGTGTAGGCAGGGTAGACGATCAGCTTGGCGGCGTAGTCGACGACAGCAAAGGTGGTGAACTCGTTGCCGGGGCCGAACTGGTCCGACCAGCCCGAGGTGACGGTGTATGGGCCGCAGGTGGCTGGGCCGCCGTTGAGGGTCGAGGACTTGGCGCCCTTAACCTCCTCGGTGCAGGGGGTGGTGGTCTGGCCGTTGTTGATGCCAAAGGTCCAGGTGGTGACCGTGTTGTCGGCGTTGACGGCGCGCTTGAAGTTGGTGATGGTCCAGGTCGTGGCCTGGGCCATCATGGAGACTGCCTCGGCCCTGGGCTCGAGGGGAGCAGCCATGGAGCCGACGGCGGCGAGGGCGGAGAGGAAGACGGTGGTGAACTGCATTTTGATTATGGAATTATAATTATGATCTCAAGGTGTATGAGTTCTTAGAGGAGCAGTATAAGGTTTGAAGGGTTGATGTGACTGTGAGGGTGCCGGATGAGGTAGAGAGCTGGACATGTTGACTTGATAGAGCAGCCTCGGCCTTATATAGAGATCTTGACCTTGGCGGAGTGGACAGGTCGTCCAAGACATGCATATCATGAGAGCACCTTGAGGGCTTACCAGGGCTTACCGTCGCTTCCGTTCTCCAACGTCGTCATGGCTCGTAAAGGTCCCCGAGTGATCCTCGTTAACATCTCCCCACTGAGCAGATGTCAGCTGTTCGCAAAGGCGTGGTGGGTCAGGTGGTCGAGGAGAGGATACCCCAGGCTGCCATCGCGTAAAGGGCGGCGGCAGTGTGCGTTCCTGGCGGCAGACGTTGAGCCTTGGATCGGCATAGCTCCGAGGCCCCGAGCTCGTATTCACCTCCGGCTTCCGTGTTGTGTGGAGTAGGGTGTCAACGCTAGAGACAAACCCGCCAATCCTACGTCAGATTTTGGGGAACACTTTTGGTCTCGTATGTAAGCTTAATCTGGGTGGATCTTCGTCTCCGTTGCTTGGCGCTCGGCTTGCTGGAAATAGGCACAGGGCGGAGCGGGCGAGATCGATCCTGGGGGGGTTGGGTTCTCGACTGACATGGTTGCACGCCTGTCCTTCACCGCGCACCACCGTCGTATTTCTTTCCTCACCGATTGATGCAATAGCGAGCCTTGTAATAACGAGGAAGAGACAGAACATATGAGGTGCATGAAACGTTCCATCAGACCACATCGCTCATAGGATGCCTTCAATGCATGTCTTTCGCTTCTGCATAAGCGCCCATGTAGGGAGTTCACAACCCAGATGCCTAATCAAACTTTGGCTCAGCATATCTCGATGATCAGCAGGGGTTCTGCACTGCGTGATTGCTAGCAAGGGGGCTGCCTGAGGTCATGGTCTTGTCCTTACCCGCAGACAGATGCAGAGGCGCGGGTGTTTCCACATGGCCACTACTTTGATCGTTGACCCCTCAAGGCCTCACCTTGTTTTTCGCCTCCACAATGTCATGAAAGTGCATCCAGCATTCCGGTTCGGTCGAAAAGCCATGATTGACCCCATCACAGTACTTGCGGAGTCTCAGCCACGCCACGCCACAACAGCCGCTAACGTGTTGCTGATGGTACGAATTGCAAGACAAGTTGAAGCATACAAGTGATGAAAGGCTCATGGCTTTGAATCAGAAGCACTGAGAGATGTTTCAACCCCTCGGCCATCACGACGGTTTGATCGCCACTGGATGCTCTCCCTGTGCTTTGACATTCAGAGCCGTAGCATGTTCTTGATCATGGTCGTGCCTGTTGACATCACATACATCTGTATTCTCGAGACAACTCGGATGTGTCTTAGTCGTGTCTTCACTAAAAGATTGAGTCTCAGCCCACCCGCACGCCTTGAGCGGAAACACCGCACAGGCGGCCACGGTCGCCCTTGTTGCGCGGAATCTGAATGACACGTTGACATCAGCCAGCGCGGACAGACTCCACATACAAATGGGTCCGCTCGAATGCAATCCTACTTGACGTGATGTCGATCGAAAGCTCTAGGCCTCTGCATTGTCTCCCTATTCTTGCCGTCTTGCTACTCCGGGACTCCCTACTGTAGGTCTTGCTGGGGCTCTTGGTGCGCTGGCATGGAAGATTTGGTTCATGTCCCCATCGTACCCCTGAACAAGGTTAATTTAATGATGGGACAACTCATGCATTCGACCCGATCTTCCGAGTTATCCGCTTCCAGTCTTTCCACTCTATCTAGATCAATATTCAGTCTGCGGATTTATATTATATAGATCAAAATTGCAGGATAGGCAGTCGCAGAGACGTGCGAGAATTATGGCTTCATCGAGGCGACATTTCAGGTCTGTAGACAAAAGCCTAGGCCTTTGAGCTCTCGAGAGCCAGAACGCTATCAAATCCCACGTGTACTACGTGGCTGATTCATGCATTCGAGTCACATAAGCAAGACTTGCCCTGAACATGTTAGTGTCGAAGACCTCTTCGGCATAGAGTCGGAAATTATGGCAAGACTGATGTGTAAGCTCACGAAACATGGCGCTTGAGCATCACCGCCCCCGTTCTACAGTGAACATCTTATCCAGGAGGCCGCCCTTGTGTCACTTTGTAGTCGAGTTTTGAGTTGCCCAGTGGCAACTCTTGCCGTGCAGGCATTCGAGGATTGGACATGTAGATAGTGGTATTGACGGCCGTTTGTGAATAGAGACTCAGGGATGAAACGTCGCATCACTTCTCCAAGCGCAGAAGAAGATGGAGAGTCCTGGTCAACCCTCTGAAGTTGAGCATTGAAGTTCTAAGATGCCAATGGAGGCAAAGAAATGACTGTTTGAAGATAATATTTTGTCTCTGCGCGGATCTTTTTATGAGCCGCAGTTCATTCCGGGAGTCTCATGGGAATAATGGAAGTTATGTTTTAGGCAGGAAAGCATATTACTCCGTTCAGGCGGTGGTTGTATTTCTCAGACATTATAGTTGTGATCTCAGCAAGTCGCATTCTATTCGAACATCAGTTTGGGACCAGTAGCGACGAGTCGATGCTCTGGCCTTACCCATTGTGACAGCAACGTCTGGGAAACATTTCTAGGTGATCTCCAGCGTTAAGGTCAACTGGTGAGCTGGGTCCATCAATGTTTACGGCCCTGATGCTAGAACTTCCGGAGATGCTTTACTACATCGGGTCTCTATCAGTCCTTCCCACGTTCTCAGCAGACACCACTTGGGATGTAACGCTCGATCTATCCTAGGACGAGAGAGATGTCTTCCAACGCCAATCCTTCCCATGATGCCTTGTCCACTTCGCCAATTGCTAGACGGTACGCGACCCCATGACTCCACTCCACCCATAAGACTGTATACACCTCCCGTTCCTTGAAAGGGTGCGTGTAGCATCTCATGTGCTCATCAAAGGTCTTGCTATAGTAGCGTGCCCGACAGATAGCCACCAACTCAACATTCCTCGCTGCATCCCACCCTGTCCCCAACGAGGGAAAGCATTGCCGCTGCTCCTCGTTGTGCAACGCCAAAGTCCCGATAACCTTGTCCTGGCCACTGTAGAGTGTAGCCGTATTGTATCTGCCTGTCTGAAAAGCAAAAACACGGGCACGACGCGTATCACAGCAGAGATATGGCGTCTGTTCCGGCATAAAGGGTTCTGTAGATTCTTGAATGTCCGGCACGGGGAAAGGCCAGTGCCAATGGTTCCGGTCGTTATCCTCGCTTATTGTGCTGTGTCGAAAGGTGTGTTTTCCACATCCATCGGGGTAGAGCAGCACGTGTCCATCCCTTCCCTCTCCGTATCCGGGGTTAGCTACTTCAGGGACTGCATGCCGAGTCCACCCAGATGGAAGAGGCCTTTCAATGTCTTTGTAGGCCTCACGATTCTCCAGCCAGGAGGGTTTGATTCTTCGCTTCTTCACTGTCGTCAGCGAGTCAAAAGTGTACCACGTAGTGATTGAGATCGTCTCTTTCATCCAATAAGCCCCTGGGTTTGCTGGGCCGGCCTCGTGTGACCCAATATCAATAAGGCCTTCCCATCCTACCCACGACCAAGATGAGGACTACATGGACCAGGGTTGAAATTAGTTTAGTTTAGTCTAGTTAATAGGTTGAAACTCTCTAACCCATATAAGAAGATATATCGCACTGTAAACAATGCGAGCAATTTAGGGGATTCAGGGTGTATATTGCTTAAATAGGTCTAAGTTTACCTCCGGAGCTAAAAATTACCTATTTAAGGCCCTTAAAGGCTAAACGCTCCTACCTATACTATATAAACCCCCTTTTTCTAATAGCAAAACCCCAAGCTTAAATTATAATAATACTATTATAAATATATATACTTCCTATTCCTAATTTACTTTTATTAATAAATTAAGAAAAGGATTAATATTAATTTAAGTTATAAGTTATTGTATTTACTATATTAAAATAAAATAAAAACCTATATTATTATATTAGCCTTTATAAATACTTACTTTAAATTAAGTCTTTAATAATAATAAATAAATATTAATAACTATTCTTATCTTAATTTTTCTTAAAAAAAATAATTATGAAGAGTTATATTATTATAAAAGGCTGCAAAATCTTCCTTTAAATCTCTTTTCATTATTATAGCCCCTTATTAACTCCTTTATAACTTTAAAACTATATTAAATATTATATTAAGTTAATAAATTTAATATAATGTTTTTAATTTATTATTAACTCCTTAACTAAACCAATATCCTTAAAAAGCTATAAGCTTACTTATCCTTATTTATTTTATTATACTTAATAATAATTAAGATAATAATAAAATATTAAATATAAACTTAAATAAAGGCTAAGCCATCCTTACTATCCTTATTTCCTAATCTTAAAATTCCATCCTTATTAATTATATAATTAATTAATATATTTTATTATAAGTTAGCCTTAAGCATTTATTAAAAGGTACTTAAAAGGAGTTATGAATTGCAATATTTAAAAAGTAAGTTAAGCTTTAAAAGGGCCTAACTTTAGATTTATCTTTTAAGTATATACTCCGTTATATAAAAGGGTTGAATGCAATATAAACCCGGCATAGGCATATATTACGGCTTAAGCAATAGCTTAAGCTCATTATATAGCCCTCTTTCCACTCTTATATTATGCATAATAAGAATTAAACCTAGGGCTTTTATAATCTTATGCTAATTATATATCTACCTTATTATATACTTATTTTAAAGCCATATCCATTTACCTTAAAAGCAATAATTATTTATTTTATTTTTATATTAATTATATTTATATATTATACTTAATATAATATAATATAAAGTATATATTATATATATTATAAGTTATTATAATATAATAATATTATTATTATATATATAATTCTTTATTAATATATTATAATTATATATAAGCTATATATATTATTAA